TCTTTCAAGTCACGTGGTAGTGTGGAAGAGCAGGCCAAATACCCTCTTATAGGGGCCCTCTAGAGTTGTCTTCAGTGGAAACCCTCTGCCAGCAATGACGTTAGCAAGCAAGTGCATGCTCCAAATGAGAATCCTAGAATAATAAAAATTAAATCCCATGCAGAGTCAAAATGTTACAAATTATATTTCATTTCCCCCCATTGCTTATACAGCCATACTGCGATAAAGCAGAAGGACAAGTCATTGTAACGGTTAGAATGTTGCGTTACAAACCTGCCAGCCTGAGTTCGATTCATGGCCACGGCTAATATCAGTGGCAACATGATATCTGAACTGGTTCTGTTACCCCCCCCCTCTCCCTTCACCAACTCGCAGTGAGTAGCATGATGAATTATGGTCAAACATCCCCCAAGACATGGCAAGGCCTTCATCTGGCAGTGGCAAAGCGCTCTACGTGATTATCGCATGATGATCACATTGCGGATACATCGCCTCTGTCTCCCCCAGATTGCGATGTTGCAGGAGGAGTTTCCCAGACTGAATGAGGGGGCAGCCAGGCACGGCACACATCATGCGCACGCAATAAAGCGTGAGTCTTCATGCACCTGTCATGTTCAACTTTGTCACGTAGAAAGTTGTGTGTGGTGAGCTGGCAATTTCACTGTTGTCCAACGCATGTAAAAATGACTCAGAGGCATTCGTAACTTATTCCGTGAAGCAACACCTTATTTTGCAAGACAATGTGTCATATTGGACAAAGCCTTATCCAGCTTTTTAATCCAGTGGTTATTATTGATTTATCTCCCCTCCCACACAGACCTCTTTCCATCAGCTGGATATATGGGCATGGTTGAAGGTGAATAGAATGAGCTTCACATCCTTGAACCTTATCGCCTAATATGGCCGGCCCCCTAAGCTCCTCGCATTCCATGTGTGCATGTCTATGCTACTTTTCATTAGCACGGCAACAGACGCATGATTTAATCCAGCGGAATAGCATTTGTTACGGTCATTGAAAAAGGAATGTTAATGAGGGATTACAGATCAGTGCTTTTGTACAAGGTGAAAAGGTAAATGTAGAGCCCTGTTGCTTGCTGATTCCACTACTGTTGGAAGGGCCTCCATATTATAAGGAGAACTAGAGATGGCTTCTAAAGGTTATGTTAACCTACTCTTGCACGGTGGCACAACATCTTAAAAGAGGGGGGAGTACTCATACTTTAACTCAGCATGCTTCATCTGCCGATCGACTAACTGTGGTGCGCCTATTTATACTGCTGGGTGGACAAAAGCGGAGGCAATGAAAAAAAACTTGTCCATTGTTTCATCTGCTTTGCCGGGAGATCGAGCTGCCAACCTCTGGAAGTCCAGTGTGTTAACAATTATACCTTCAGCCAACCCTTAAAAACTCAAGCATATTTTTTCGTCCATACTTTAATAACAGTTTTAAGTTTGGGCTTTTGGCTTTGCATCATAATTATTGAGAAATAATTTTAAACTTTGCACATCTTATGCATTTGTTCTCACTGCTGTCCCAGTTTACAGAAATTCACTTTCCACATCCATTTAGTAAGATGTGAAGTGCATTACTAAGGCTCTCTGTGTTTTGAACACATTCCTGCGGAGGGAGCTGGTAGGAACGTTGGGTTGCTCGGTCAATGAACAGGGTCAAAGACGGCGTGGTGTATTCCGCAAAAATGGCCTCCCCACCCAGCCCCTCCCCACCCTCCCCTCCCCACCCAGCCCTTCCCCACCCTCCCCACCCAGCCCCTCCCCTCCCCACCCTCCCCTCTCCACCCAGCCCCACCCCTCCCATTTTTGGATGCACGACGGACGGACGGACACAATAATCCCCTGTGGGCTGGTGTAACCAGGAGGTTCCTACCAGTATAATTGGATCCTATAAGGGCCCGTTGTGACCTCATATGCAACAATAGACTATTGTGTCCTCAAGAATTTATATTCTAAAAAAAGACGTACATTACACACTATATTGTCACAATGAATCGGTTCATATTTAGCGTCTTCCAGTTTTTCACTGCACAAAGGTAACAACATCCCAAGGAGGCCCTTTCCTGGTTACATAGAGGGGGCCTACCATACATCCAGGGCATGAGTATGCTGCGCAACTGCTTGTGCTTTAACGTCTCAAACGGTATACTCTCTTAACAGCAAATCGGTCAAATAACGTATTATAAACACATTTCATGCATGTCTTTTTTACTACGGAGGTGTCCAAAATATAGTGGGATCTTTTCATGTGGATATAGCATAATCAGAAGAACGAGGTTCAGTTTCCCAGAAATGTGTAGTTTGGCCTTCGATCGTTATGTTTACATCAATGAGTAATTCAAATGAAGAGAGGGACATACGAAAACAATATATTGGCAGGGCAACCCCAAAGGAAGTTTTCCAATGGTTTATCATGACCAACGTGACGTGCGCACGCATGACTTAAAATATGCTGTGCTGGAGGATGCGGAGGAGGTTTTGATTTGTATGCCTCAGCTGGAAGTTGAACACGCAAGGCTGCCTTGCTTTCGACACTGCAGAAAGTGCTTCTCTGAAGTTTGGCCAAATAGTTATCCTCTTTGGCGTAACTCCAAAAGAGCCGGATGTGAAGCATACAGACGTATGCATTAAAGCATTCTTCACCACGGGAAAAAGCTGCAAACCGTCAGATTTTCCATAGATGTTTTCTTTAACTTGGCACTAAGTCCGAATAGAGATTCAAAGGAATGGTCTACTAAAATGGGCATTAAGGGTGTGTGTGCTCAAAGTGTGGGGGTACTCGCACATCTACTAAGATGTTTGGCCAGCAAGGAAGAGTCCGTTCCAGAGCAGTGGTTCTTAACCTGGGGTGCAAACACTCCCTCGGGGTGCGAGATGCCCTTTCTGGGGTTGCGAGACATGCCAGATCTTTTGAGAAGGTAAATCATGGAAACATAAATTAAGCACGAGCACGTAAGTATAACTACATTGTTTCATCAAACATATGTACTTATTAACATTATACATTTTTAAAACGATTAATAACCAAAGGGGTGCAAAGCTGTAGTACAGGTTAAAAACCACTGCCCGAGTCACTGTTTAGAGCTCCCTCTAGTGGAGGCCCTGTTGATAGTAGTGAACTCTTGAACTATTTTTTTTATATTACCAGGTAAAGCTATTTTTCAGAAGCAACCTGACCACAAATGATAGCTCAACGAAGTGGCTTGTCATCGTGAAAATGTATAGCAGCAAAATACTCTAAATGCATGTTTATACAGGTAGGAACAACAGTTCCACACTGCCCACCAGGGATTATTTGACTGTCGTGCATAGCCCCTCCCAAACATGTACGCTCCCGGATTGGTTGAAGTGCGTCACGTGACCGCAAGCTTCTGTCGTGCACGAATGCGCTGTCCAACCAAGTTCCTACCTGCCCACTCCGAAGGAACGTGTTTCTAAATGTGGATTGAAAAAACCAGAGGACCTTGACAGAAATCCACGCGACTACTGGGAGAACATGCAAACTCCAAATATAAAGGTGTCGGGCTCGGGATGGAACTCACGACATGCATACCAGGCGAGGTAGTTAACATTTCGCCGCCATAGCATCTCAGTGGTGTGAGCATCTAACTTGGGGGCTGCACCTTTACCTTATTAACCCACTAGTTTTACTACCTGGCTTAGATTCACGACGCCCGGCCGCGTTTGTCTCCCTCACACACCACACCAATTACTAGTTTGAGGCTGAGTCGACCTAGAGGAGGCCCAGGACCGGTTAAAATAATCGTCACCGGTGGTGGCCGTGAGCTGGAATCGAACTCGGGTCGCCGGGTTCGTAGCGCGGGGCGCTAACCGCTACACTACAATGCGTTACGCTTCCACATGCGCGGGTCACGTGACAGATTTGACGTCACAACTCACTTGCCGTGCAAAAAATATATGCATTATTGAGCTCCCCGCCCTCCCCCCCCCCCCCCCCCCACAAAAAAAGTGTATTTTTATAATATTTGCATGGTGTACAGTCTGGAAAGTTCCCACATGGCAAATTTCAAGTTTGTTGCATGTCGAGTAGTACGCTAAACATTTTGAACAGACACACATAATCACAACTTTGCCTTTCATATATACTGTATGGAGAAGAATCACCCCCTGATAAAAAAAAGGGGCAATGGTGCTGTGTGGAGCAGACTGCAGCTCTAACATGTCAGTGGCTGAAACAACAATGGTCTGCGGCTGGCATTTTCCAGCACTTTTATACGGAGGAGCCTGCTCAAAATTCATCTGTGACCATCCTTGAAACTTTCTTCAAAATGTGTCTTGTATGTGTAGGGGTGTTACGGAGGGGCTGTATACAATGGGATCAGATGGGAAAGAAACACAGTGGGCGTGGCTATGTCGGTGCACGGGCAGGTGCTCCCAGCGACGTCCGCATCGGGCAGCCTGGGAGGCTGACTCGGAGCTGGGATCCCCCGGGGCCCCACCCCTCAGCGGGGGTTTTGGTATAAAAGGGGATGAGCCGGAGGGCTCAGGGAGAGATGTTGAAGCTAACCAGTGAAGATCGAAGATCGTCATAGATAGAGCCCTGGACTCCCCTGGATCGCCGCCCTTGTCAGGGCCGGACAGGATCGAGCCAGCTGCGTGGTCCCGAGAGCCAGAGCCGGTGCTCTTGTAAGAGCTGGTCTGGGACTCCAGGTACCGTGAGCCCGACTTACCAGTGTCGGGCTAGCTAGCCTTCCCTAGCCCGTTAGTGGAGGACCCAGGGGTAGGCTAGGCGTAGCTAGAAGTGTATCCCCAGTTAGACGGGTGAGGGGGGCGATACCCCCTCCAGTGTTGTATGCCAGTGCTGTACTGTACCGACACGGAATAAATACGTGTGCCTCCAACCCCGGTGTCAAAGTCTCCTGGAACACTATTACATATGCGAAAACACCTGACTGCCTTTCATACATTGACTGTGCAAGGAAGAAGAAACACAACGTAGCAACATTCCAAACCACAAAACACTGCTCTTTATTTAAGATTTTTATTGACATATCCCAGTTATGGTTAACATTAAACAAAGGTTCAACATTTTTTGCTTTAGGTTCTTACAAATAAAACGCTGGTGGAAAAGTGTGCTAGAGAGCCTATGGAGGGGGAGGGATGCGTCAAACGCTATTTCCTTGGCCCAACTATATAAAATAATCAAGAATCCCTGATGTTGAAATTTCTGTGGAAAACACTTAACAGTTTTTTTGTGGTCGTTTTATACGCAAAAAGTTTCAAATTATACTTTAGTGTTTGTCCCCATTAGATCCACGGTTGTCCCCTTTTGTGTGTGAGAATAAACTTTTGAAGAATGGTGCCAATGCACCCATCCACAGGCTTCATTTTGGAAAGCAAGGCGAATTTTACAAAATAGCGACAATGAAATAAAAACGCCAACATTGAGCACCTAAACACGATCAAGATGTATAGCACCACTTGGACTCACTGGATCTCAAGCAAATTGAGTAATTGTAGAAACTGAAGCCACACGATGTAATAAGAAGCACTGATGAACTCCTGACATCCAGATCTGAATACTCCTTTTCCAACTTAATGCGTTGCTTCTGACTGAGGTAGCTAAGTCCGCAAACGGAAGCTGGTGATGGTAAGCACTTCCATGCAGCAGGTCAGGCACGGTACTTCCCAGGAGTGGTGAGATGTGGCGGCGTGCACCGGACATGTCGCACGGGACGTTTTGTCACGGCTGTCGTGAGAACAGCGTCAAGACCCCACTCCTCTCGCCACTGGGTATGGAAAACCGTGGATCGAGAGCAAGGGAGGGTTCATGCGATGTGCCCACCCCCCCCCCCCCCCAGTGCACGTGGCCAAGGCTCAGAGGACGCCGCCTGAGTTTGAAACCTGCCTTCGCTCAAGCTTTGCTGGTGAACAGAGCAGGAGGGGGAAACTTGATTGACCACCTACGTTGCTTTACAGAGTCCAAAATTCCAAGCGTGTGGATGGGCCGCTGGGGACCAGAATGAAGGTCGGCAGTTCAGTGCAGCAGTTCTGAAGGTGTCGTGTCTGCAGAGGGGGAATTGGGAGTTGATTTTGGGATTTTACATTTTTTCTATTGAAATGTTTTGTGTCCATTTTACAGGAAGCAGACGGGACCGACATCTACGCCAAACTCCTGGTCGGAACCACCGACGTCCATTGGGGCTATGTCCATGAACGGCAGGCGGCTGGTCTTCTGCGTCCTGTACTCGATCACCGTCTTGCCCCACACGCCGGTGTGCGTCTGCGGGTTCACACAACGCAGCCAGCGACAACGTGAATGCACCGCAACACACGAGACCACTACACAAGAGGCATATGTGCAAGCAATGCACGTGCACAAAGACGTGAACAAGTGCGCACACATCTACCATTTCCTCCCAAGTCTCAAATACAAATATAAATATGGACACAACTGCAGTGATATACTATTCGACAGCATATTGTTTCATGTGATACGTATAAATAAATGTTTACAACACATGATATAGAACCAGCCTCAAAAAGGCTATGTGTATAGGATAGCAGTCTTATTCTAAATTACACTTTTTTTTTTTACGAGGTAAGGCCCACTGAGCTGTATAGCTCTTTTTCAGAAGCGACCTGGCCATAAATGATAGCCCAGTGAAGTAGATTATCATATGGAAATGTATATCAGCCAAATACTCCAAACGCATGTTTCTAAATGTGGCGGGAAAAAACGGAGGACCCGGAGAAAATCCACGGGACCACGGGGAGAACATGCAAACTGCAAATAAACAGGCGTCAGGGTCGCGATGAAACCCACGATCTCCTGTATACCAGTCAAGGTGGTTAACATCTCGCCACCGTGAGCACCTCGCTGCCTCTGCAGGAGGTTGGCTCCCACACGTATTGTCACGCGCGGACCGCCGAGTGGGGGCGGCGAGTGTGTGCGCGTGACTCACAGTGCACCCATCCTCCAGCACAGAGTAAGTGAACCGAGAGTTGCCCTCGGCACGGATCTCCACGTCGCTGGAGCCCTGCAGCATCAGGGCCTTCTTGAGGTTGCCGGCACGGCTGTCCAGGTAGGCCACGCTGTTCTTGCAGTGGTAGGTGATCTTCTGGGATGCGTCGGTGGACAGCAGGCGCAGGAAGGTCAGCTGCACCTCCATGTTCTGGCTGCCATCACCGTACGTGAACTGCAGGGGCACAGCGGTGGCACAGTGACGGTGTGGCGATATTAATGATGAGAGATATAACTTTTGGTGTATATTAGTCAGCATGTGGCAGTGCAGCAAATAGATGGCTATTTGATATGCTGCCATCTACTGACGAACACAGAGCCCAGCAGCTAGGCGTTCTCACACACATGACAAACTTGGTGTGACCTACCAACCCGCCTCTGAATGTTTTACATTTGGTCGCGGCACGGGACTGCTTTAGGCACCAATAACGCGGCTACAAATTTGACGCCGGGTAATTTCATAATTTCATAACGCGGGTAATCCGATGTGGCTAATTTGCTAAAAACAACAATGATAATGGTGTGAGGAAGGCGCAGTGAACAAGCCAAGCTCCCTTATTGTTGCCGCCCGCTCTCACCTGGGATCCGGGGCTCATGGTCTCTCCGAGCCACACGTGCTTCTTGTCGGCTGCCTGGCTGCGCCACCAGTTCTTGCGTGGCAGGCTGGGCATGCCCGGGTTCACGCAGCTCTCGCCCGTCTCCATGTTGCACCACACCTTGATGGCGTCGGCACGGCAGCCCTCGTTGGGGTCAATCCAGTACTCACCTGTGTGTGGAGGACAGCACCTCTGTTTAGGGCTCTCTGGCCTCACTCTGCCCCTGGGGGACACTCGCAGTGCTTGTGTCAGAGCACCGGACCGATTAGCACGGTTGGCTACGTGTGGTATGTAAAGGAGCTCAACATACATACGTATACATACGGCAACATTACATACAACATTTCATACGTATGTATACATACAGCAACACTACATACACGTATGCATGTATGTATGTATACATACGTATGTAGTGTTGCCGAATCCAGCTCTGAAGGTGAGTATGAATACAATGGATGACTGAATATATTGGCTAACCATCTGATGTTCCGTGAGAACATTCTATGAACTTCAATCGATCTAGCACTGTGGTGTCATCTTCTGGGGCCATTTCCTGGCATGGCAGGAAGCTCTTCAGGCTAAATTACTTTTAGGAGAACTTTCTATCTCATGGGATGCTTTAAATAGCATTAGTTATACATAACTGGATATTAAATAATGTGTAAATAACTTCCAGCCCACGTCAGGCAACTGGTGGACAAACAAAACATCTGTGTGTGTGGTTGTGCTTCATCTTCCTATCTATGTAGATAACAGTCGAAATATCCCACGTAAAAATTAAAACCTTAATGAAAAACAAGAACGAGAAGAAAGTTTACCGCTCTTGTACTCAGGATGGCAGAGCATGAGATCCCGGCAGGATCGGGCTGGGTGCTTGCGGCTCCCATCCGGGGAGGTGATGCTCTCCACTTGGGCGTTCAGTGCCTTGATGGAGGCGTCCAGCACCAGGCCGTATGGCAGCATGTCAGTGGACTGGTCACCCATCTTGCGGCGTGCCATCAACCCAGCGTATGCGCCCATGTCGTAGCCGGCGCCGGAGCTGCCGGGAGGGCCGGGTGGTCCAGGAGCTCCAGGAGGGCCCTGCGATGGTGAGCCACGCGAAGCAGGTTAGAGCGCAAAATCCGTCAGGCACCACCAGGCACCCCGTCTGACTCAGTCGGGAAAGAGCATCACCTCCACCAGTGAGGCTGGTCAGCGGCTGCTGGCCCCACCGTGTTTCGGTACGCTGCTGGTTGGTGCAATTAAAATAATCCCACCAACGATAACAATGTACTTCATTGACTCATACAAGACTTGATGTGCCTCAAGACGAATTTTTTAGAAGAGTCCTGGATTGGAGTGTTTGATCAATTCCAGGAATGTTTGACATTTTTGGAAGACACTGGAGTACTCAATGAGCACCCACATATATTAGGTGATAACACTTCGAGTTTTATAAAGATATTTTCAAGAATCCATTGCTATGTTGCCATCGAAGCAGTCTACCAACACCTGGTATTCCTTGGTGGTCAACCATCTCGTTATCAATTAGGCTCAGGTCTTCTGAGCTGCCAAGTACTGTATTAACAAGATCAAGCACATTAAGGGTGATTTGGGCAAATGTAGTTGATCTGGTGTTGCTTTTAATATAATTAGATGTGAATAATCGTTTTAATCCTATAGGGAAATATAGATTGTACTCCAAAAGGGTAGGTGGATATGGTTTACTATGCCCACACAGCTAATGAATAGGCTCATTGTAAACACTCTTATGCCTGAGAGCAAAACTATGAAACTTGTGTTTGAGATCCTCTTACCAAAAAATTCTTCCGTGGGAACTTGCTCAGTTATAAATAAAGGTCATTGTTTAGCATCTCTCTTCTTGTAGTTTTGCCTCGCAACTTATACCGTTACTGTCCAGTTCATATGCACCAAGCAAGGGGAAGATGAGTAACAGATCAAAGCAATAAAGAGGGGATAGAAAAAAATGTATCAGCGAGCAGGGGCGGTTTCTTCATTAGGGCGATTGGGCGACGCACCACCAATGTCATTGAACCACAGAGTCACGCTAGCCGTCACTGTCAGCCTCTGGATATAGTCCAATCAGCGTCATGCTACGTTCTGTGGAGTGCCGCCTCTTTTTGGGCGATTTCACTCCGGCTGAGAATCGCCCCGAGTGGCCCCATAGACTTACATTGAAAGATGTTTTTTTTCGAACGGCGGGCGCTCCAATGCATTCTCTATGGCTTCCGGGAGGGCTTGCACTAACGTGCTTACGTCATCATACGTGCTAACGTCATCATACGTAAGCACGTTTCATCCAACAATATAATTTATCGCCACCTAGTGGAATCTTTCATAAAATAAACTTGAGTGGTTTGTTTTAATAGTGAGTATAGAAACAAACTAGATGTATTGTAAGAGTCACTTTATTTTTCATTAATATTAAAGAAGTGAAGTTGCCTGTACATGCTTAAGCTGTTAATTTATCCATTGCATGGGTGGACCTTATCCTTATCAATCATCCAGACATTTGCCTCCCCTGAGAGATTTTGCAGGAGCCGCCATTGTCAGCGAGGCCTATGGGTAAGACTTACGGGAGGACCGGTCTCTCCATTGCGGCCTCGAGGTCCAGCAGGTCCAGCAGGGCCAGGAACGCCACTGACGCCATCCTTACCGCTGGGGCCAGTTGGGCCAGGGAGACCCTGTACACACGCAGAGGCATGACCACACGCAGCAACGAGACAATGGAATGACGCATTAAAGCGTGTCGAGTAACACAGCTCTTGTTCTCGGTGAGTGACACACAAGTGAAAAATGGAGGGTGTGGGTGTCACGTACCCTGGAACCAGCGGAGCCGAACACTCCAGCGATGCCCCTGTCACCTGGAGCACCCTTTGAGAAGAAAACACATGGAGATTGTCGTCTTAATTGAGACCGTTAACACAACACCACGCATACATTTCTAAAGTAAATTGATTGCATTCGTGGTAAAGTGCAGTATCTGATTTAAGGCATTCGTGACACCACCAACAATTTTTAAGTGGCATGGCCACCATATTTGTACAGTATGATCGTAATATGTTCTGCACCTATAGAGCTACAATATAGATGAGGGTCAGTGTAGCAGAGGGCTTAACTCACAATGGTAAGGATGCGAGCTCATATTATGGTTGATGAACCCGAACATTTGTCTGTGGATTACCACTTTGTGCGGATTCAACAGTGATTCCCACCATAGAAAAGTTAACATTTTCACCACGAGTTGAGGACTGCAAATTATGATAAGAACTGGCATGTGCTTGTTTGAACGGGGGATAAGCGTTTACTTAACTTGACGTTGAATACAAAACCATTATGCATTTTGTAAACGACCATGTTTTTTTCGGCAAATAAATATGGTGACACATCTGTGCATAGTTATTAACGTGACAGACACTCCATTGCCATGTAGATACAACTACAATATAATATGAATTCTCCCAAACTATTACTACTCCCAGTGCACCCTCCGTGATGTTCAACCGTTCGCCTACTCAGCCAGGTTGGCCCTGGAGTTGGGTGCTCACCGGGGGTCCAGGGAGACCAGGCAGACCCGAGAAGCCACGGTGGCCCTTCATTCCTGATTCTCCAGCGGAACCAGCATCACCCTTGTCACCACGAGGACCTGCAGGACCCTGTAGGTACACGAAAATTACATGTAGTCAATACGAGGTGCTCACTGAGCAGAGAATTTACCAGCAAATGTGAGATAACGTATGGGTGTTATGTAATGCTCCATGCACATTTGACACCCAATCTTCATATGTTTTGCCTCTAGGGATTTGAATTAGTAGTTCAGAATTGGTATACATGATATTAACTGTTTTTCATGAAAAGAGTTTTTTTTGGGTTAGATCGCGTAAATATATAAACGTGTCGTTAAAACCCGCCACCACCCGACACAGCCAACTAGTTTGTAAATGTTGTGGCTTGGCTCTCCAACACACCGGTGTGCTGTACTAGTGACGAATTGGCATGTTCTGTTTACGTGACAACCCTTACTAACCCAAAAAAACCTCTATTATGGATGATATTGGTCGCGAAAGCCTACGTGTTAAACTGATTAACTGTTTTGTTTTGCCTTTCATTAGTTTCGTCTTCTCTTTGGAAATATTTAAGTGTAACTGGTATCTGACTGCAAAAAATAATGGATGTTTTAGAGGCTGACCAGGCATGTCAGCAAGCTGGACTATTGACGACATACTATAAATCAGATCTTACAAAAGACAAATGACTATACAATGTCCTGATGCCTGGCTTTTCTAGCCTATGAAAGGTATTAGATTTATTAAATCAGATATGGTTATCCAAGCTCTCAAAATTAATGGACATGACTGGTAATGGAATGGCAAAACATTTAGAAATTGCACCCAAGAGGATGACCACCAAGACGTTGGACCAATTAGTTGAGTTCATATGCAGGAGATGGATTGTGACATCGCAGAACTGTGAGATGTTAATGGCACGGAGAGGCCTCCATCAAGCAATGGATAAGCAATAGCTGGTGATGACGAAAGTGATACCCATTGAATTGAAATTGGTTTAGTTGCCCACATTCTGCGCCATTTGTGTGCTTCCTTGGCGTACGTGTGTGTATAGCTGCATGTTTAAGACAATGCGTACGCATGAGTGCATGTGTGCATGCTACATATGTGTGCGTGTGTACGTGTTCATATGCATGGTTGTGTATTTGTGTGAATATCTGTACGTTTGTCGGTGTAATATGTTTATTGCATTGTTGCTTCAGATTGCTGGTAAAAAGGACACGCTTAGGGTGAGAGTTATATTGTCCAAGAACCATATTGTGGGCAGGAGACTTACCGCAGGACCACGGGCACCAGTGGTACCGGAAGCACCAGAAGGACCAGCAGGACCCTGATGAGAAATGGAATCAAGACAAGACAGCCTCAGACGTATTGTTAACACAGGTCCAATATGCTTTGTTTAGATGCTGTTATCAACGGTTTATTTTTTATTTTTAAACAACTGCAGTATTGTGTGAAAACTCATTAAGTCATGTTAGTAGATTGTCAGCTCATTTGTAGCTGGCAAGAGTGTGGGTACTGCCACCTATTTCAATGCATATGGCTGACATGGAAGAGTAGACCAAATACCTGCTGGAGGGGCTCTCAAGAGCTCCCTTTGGCAAAGGCCCTTCCGTCAGCAGGGGAATGTGCTTTAAGGGCTGCGCCTTTATCTTACTAAAGAGGTCCTAACAATTGCAGTATTATACAAGAACTCAGTACGTCCTGCTGTGAAGCATTATAGGTAATAAGTCTGTGGTTTACTTCTGTACAACATGTCGACATTGTCTACGACATGCACGTTTTAACCAAGGGACAATCGTGTTCACGTGAGAAGGGAAACTCACAGCCTCTCCCTTGTGTCCATTATTTCCAGCAGGGCCAGGGGCTCCGGGAGGACCAGCTGGGCCGGGGGATCCGGGGAGACCAGAATTTCCGGCTGGACCACGGTCTCCCTAAGCGTGCGACAAGCAGGGCACCCGCACCTCCTATTAGCAACCGTTGGCTACGTACGGTGAGGAAAAAGTTCAACATACATGCATACATAGAGGGCACAATGAACCTCATAGGCGTGCTGACGCAATAGGAAAGCTGGAGAAGACAGTTAAAACAATGTCTTGACAATTCATCGACAAACCATCGATGCAGAAAACATTTTTAGAAAAGAGCTGGAAAGTGTTGTGGTCAGAGTACACGATTCACAATTTACAGTGGATTCTTCTGTGATCAATAAAATATGTATCATTGTATGGAACTATAACAGTTGTTTTCTTATTGATTGCTGCCATAGGAATATGCAACATCCGCCATTGGTTGATTCAGGGCCACCAACGTGCCAATGACCAAGTGTTGTCAGTGCGTTTTCTTAGAAAGTCATTCAGTTGCCGATAGTGTTAGATAGCTATGAATGCAGCTGCAAGTGTGAAAATATATTTAACAAGTTTCGTCAATTTTTGTTTTAATTAAAATGGAAATTCAAATTATTATCTCTTGTTATACCACGATATCATTCACGGTTACTAGATACGTCTCCGTGCAACAGATGTTAAGCTGTTACTTGGTGATCCAATTGATGACATTGGCCAACACTTGATGAGCAACATAAAGCAATGGGCGATGTATAAGCGGGACAGTCCCGTCTCCTCACCTTGCTGCCCTGAGCTCCATCGCGGCCAGGCAAACCATCGCTTCCTGGGTTTCCCTGCAAACAAATCAAACGGCGAGTGTTACAAATGACTCGTCATGCATTTAGAGTATTCGCCGCTGTACATTTCCACGTGATAAGCCACTTCACTGAGCTTTCATTCGTCGCTTCTGAAAAATAGCTATAGAGCTCAGTGGGGCTTACCTGGTAAAATAAAAAAAAAAATTTCTAGTTTAGATTACTATTCAAGCCTTTCTCAAGTCCTCCACCATTAACAACTGCCAGTGGACCAGAAGCAGATTTTGAAACTTCCAAAGTGTTGCAGGGAAGTGGGGAGCAGTCCTCAACTGTCAAGATTTTAAAATATGGCCCTCCAATAATAATAATAATTATGAAAATCAATATATTATCTCTGTTAAATATATTCCGCATATCAAAAGGAGGGTCATCTCCCCGATCCTCATTTGACCTCCTGGCATCTAAGACTGACTCCACTGGACTGCTCTTCAAGTCAGTATCCACATGTGCCACTGAAATGGCTTCCCTAACATATTTGACTTCAGTTCATCATATCTCAAGGTTCACTGAAATAAGTAACACTTTGTAACAATTCAAAATTGGTGGTTTTATGGCTATAGTTCCCACCATAGAAATGTGGATTTTGCTTCATCGGTTCAACACCACCATTTAAAATTAGTGCCACACAATGCTCTTATGAGGGTACTACAATGTCTTTTGACGACGCAAAGTGCTGCCTACGCAAAATGCTGCCCAAAACCAATATTTCAAAACAATGTTTGTTGTTGAAATTAGAAGTCAGTCCAACTTGGCTGAGCTTCCTTTGTTTTCCTAGAATGTATTAGGAACAGATGCAACTCCAAAGCACACATCAATCGAAACAAAACAACAGCAAGAGCCCGGCGGGTGAGAGTGAGTGCAGTTGGCGTACATCGCGGCCGCTCTCTCCAGATGGGCCAGAGATGCCGGGTGGACCTGCAGGCCCAGATGCTCCTCTCTCTCCAGCGGGACCCGCTGGGCCCTGCCTTCCGGGCTCACCCTACAGCACACAATCATCTCCATTATATGGCTGTGCGACGCACATTCAAAGCACAATCTATCACTCTTTGCCAAGTCCTTATAGTGTTGAAGTATTACTAAATATGTGCGGCGCTTTGCCTGCTAGATGAATGCCTCCCCACGCCGTGCAGGTCTACAATTGATGTTTTAAAAACATATTGTGTTATCGAGGGGGTTATGGGTAAACAGATGAATGCATTTAAATAATTGGATTGGTCGAAAGTAGCCCAGCTTTTGCTGTTTTAAATTAATACTGCTAATTAACATTGGTCTGGAACGCCTGAAGGCGGATGGATTGAAACATTTTATTATTCATATGGAATGGAAGTCTATTAATATTGTCAAGCAATCATATAAAATGGCAGTCATCATTCTATCAAGAAACTGGCCTCTACCATGGTAAACTGTTCAATGAAGGACACCACCTTATGGTGAGAGCAAGGATAAACTTCACTCGACTTTAACAACTTGATCAACTTTGTCACACACTTTGGTCTTAAGTGAAATACGAAGTGTGAAGTAGAAAACGACCTTTGTGCACCCCTATCCACACAGGACAGCCACAGTGAGTGGCATGCTCTGATAGACAACGTTCAAACCACCCCGGGCATGTGTACGCACATTTGTCAATGCAAAGTTGAGTGCATTTTCCCGGGTGAAGTGTGAGCATCTCACGAGGACAGTGAAGATGAAGGACGTCGACGCCCTCGCACTCCAAGAAACTCAACGTTTCCAGCGAGGAACAAGCGTGCCATTGCCATGAACACCGCTTCAAGCCGCTAAAACAAGCGACGAGCGGGGCAATGGGTGACGTTTTACTCACCGCAGGTCCTGGAAGTCCAGAGAATCCACGCTCTCCACGCTGGCCGGGCATACCAACCAAACCACGGCTGCCAGCCAAACCAGATGATCCAGGAGGTCCTTGGGGTCCCTGTGCATGTACAGAGGAAATACATTATCCCACGTCAAAACACCTGCTTTATGCAATACCTAATGATTATTATACGTACTTATTTATTTACCCAGGAGAGCTGCATTTAGTCGTCAGACTCTTTTACTGGAGGGTCCTGCATTGGGTTTTTATTTTAAGATGTCTTCAGCCGATTAATGAGTTGTTTATACAGGTGGGAGGAAACCAGAGCACCTGGAGAAAAACCACATGCACCAGTGGGGAACATATGGATGCAAAGAGATAGTGATGGGTCCGTAAACTACACAGCAAAAATTTACAAATGGGAAATCGTGAAGAGAAACTGTTTGAATAGTGTTGTATCACACGTCTTCTTTTTTCCTCTCCGATGTGCTCTTTGGGCTACCGCCGCTTTGTCGTTCGGCACGAGGTCCGACATTTACTCTCCTTGTGCCGGGAGGCCCTTCAGATACTGGGCTGCACAGCTCATCCGCGATAACCTTCGCAGGCACAACGCCTCGTTTTCCTTGTGAAGCGTGTGCGCTTCACTCACAGCAGGGCCATCGCTGCCAGATGATCCCTTCTCGCCAGGAGGCCCGGCAGGTCCTGCAGCTCCAACCTCTCCGCTCTTGCCGGGGGGACCGGTCTCTCCGCGCATTCCCCTGCTGCCATCCTTTCCATCGGGACCGGCTGGGCCGGGAGCACCGGGGCCACCCTGGACGCGGCAAACACCGTTCACCGTCAAGAGTGGCACCGACAAGACAGCCACGCAGATTGTGCAGTGAGTGGGAGGACGGTGAGTTGCCGACCTGGACGAATTGTGTTAGGTCGGTGGAGAGCTGAGATTGACCAACGTTGGTGCTGATGATGATGATGAAAACGATTGAAAGCAATTAATTGTATTATATGATGAGTTACACATATATTACATATGCTATTTTTTCTGATTCATATTGGTTGTAACCGATTCAAACAAGCTTTCACCGAAATTTTTTCCTCCATTTTTTTCGGAGCAATTACTGATATTGTGTGGTGATTTAACATCAAATGAGCTGCCCAAGCCTCTGTGCTGCAATACAAATGGAGGCTGATGCTGAAAGTGACACTGTTGCAGTGCAACTCACAGCAGAGCCTGGAGGTCCCACTCTTCCTGCAGCACCTGGGAATCCAGTAGCTCCCTTTACACACACACAGACAGACAGAGACACACGCGCCATGTACATGTGAACGTTAGTGTGACCTATGACAAGCGCAATGGTATTCTTGGAAACAGAAGTGAAATATCAATGAGCATTGGGACATTTGTATGCAAAATTGGAAATTTTATTCCGCAGGCACATATTTGGTGAGAATATAATTCTCCTGACAATATTTACTGGAAAAACAATGTTGCCGAATTAGTAATGTTCATGAAATATGTAATGGTGGCCTAACCCGAAAAATTAGCTCTCAAGAAAACAACGTCTTGTGATGGCAATAACATAACACAGTTATAATACCTTTCTTGGTAATAACATCATGGCACCCTCAGAAGCTTCCACATTTTATACTGCTAAACTGGCCACAGCACAGGCTCATTATGTTTAAGGTGCTAGACGCTCTCACAGGTCCTCGAGTTCTCCACTAGTTTGTAGAGACCAGCTCTGTCACACCTGGCTGCATCAGGTTGAGATGGATATGGGCCTTTCTTTTGTGGAGGCATGGACTGTTGGGAGTAACCGGAGCAGTGGTAGTAGTCGGTGGATGATAGTCAGTGGATGTACTCACCGGAGGACCAGCTGGGCCACGGTCTCCCTTAGCACCAGTAGCTCCAGGTGGACCCTAGGGTAGGATCGGATGACCATGGTCATGTGCAGAAAGGCAATTGAGAAAATGATACGTACATCAATGGTGGACATTACCTGTCTATTCCACAAACATTTGCGTGTTTGTAATGGACATTGCCTGCATGTATGAGAAACTGGCAAATGCAATGATTGAAGTTCTGCATTTTTACTTGAGGGTTTCATTCAATGATACATTTAGATAATGCAAAGCAATTGAAGTCAAAGGATACTTTTTCAAGATAAGTTGCTCAATACCGGTATTTAAAAATAATAATAGCACAATTACTATGGATTTCCCTTGACAAGATCTTCCATGAAGCGATACCTATCACACACAATGTGAATGTAAAAATAAGAATGAATAAAATATTAATAAACTCACGACAGGGCCAGAAGGACCACTGTTTCCTGGGGGTCCGGCCTGGCCTGGCTCTCCACGGGCTCCCGTCTCTCCAGCCTCACCTCGTGCCCCGGGCATACCATCGGCGCCCTGTGTGCACACGCGTATAATCATCGTGACACATTCCGCACGTGCGACAATATGCGGCATTTGGATATGAACGTATGACGAGTATGACTTTCAGTGTGGCGGAGTGATAATTAATGCAACAATGCACCTCTTTATTGCATTATAGCCATGAAGGTAGGACTGAAGACTCGTGTTCGAGAAGGTAAATATTGGTGGGAATACATGCCAAAATCCCTTGATATGAAACCTTACTTTGGCCATGTCTATAAGTGCTTCATGGTAATTATGATCTTGAGGCGTTCATGGTATGATCATCTGTGGCACTTACAGGAGCCCCTGGGAATCCAGCTGATCCAGGAGGACCAGGCTCGCCACGCTCACCCTGTCATGGAAGGAGGCACACAAACGTTAATGAACCATCAGTGCAGCGGTTGGGTAATATGTCAGAGTGGTGCTATCAGTGTTGTTGAAATGCGAAATATCAACAGAAACAGATGAGATCGTAGATACATGTGTGCTCCAGCACTTGCACTCAAACACAATAGCACAAACGTCCCATTACAGCCCACATGGACTTTTGTAGATCGTGAATCATATAATTGGCACGTGCCTAATAAGGCACATGAGCAAGTGGTGGGGCCATCACTATATTAAGTCACCATTCCACCAACAGCAGATGTTGACAGATTTAAAGTGATAATATTAGACAGCTTGAGAAATGAAACCCCTGTCCAGTTGTACTCAACACGGTGTATGAAATGATGTCTCAATGTGTAAATCTGATGCTGGATAGGTTACAGGGTAAACAATGACCGAGGCCGGTCACAGGTCAGCGAGCACCTGTCCATCGTCCAGAGGAGGATGTACCCAGAGGTGTGGACTCGAGTCATGTGACTTGGACTCGAGTCAGACTCGAGTCATGAATTTGATGACTTCAGACTCGACTTGGACTTGCATAACAATGACTTTGTCCCACCTCTGAGGTGTGGACTCGAGTCATGTGACTTGGACTCGAGTCAGACTCGAGTCATGAATTTGATGACTTCAGACTCGACTTGGACTTGCATAACAATGACTTTGTCCCACCTCTGAGGTGTGGACTCGAGTCATGTGACTTGGACTCGAGTCAGACTCGAGTCATGAATTTGATGACTTCAGACTCGACTTGGACTTGCATAACAATGACTTTGTCCCACCTCTGAGGTGTGGACTCGAGTCATGTGACTTGGACTCGAGTCAGACTCGAGTCATGAATTTGATGACTTCAGACTCGACTTGGACTTGCATAACAATGACTTTGTCTCACCTCTGAGGTGTGGACTCGAGTCATGTGACTTGGACTCGAGTCAGACTCGAGTCATGAATTTGATGACTTCAGACTCGACTTGGACTTGCATAACAATGACTTTGTCCCACCTCTGAGGTGTGGACTCGAGTCATGTGACTTGGACTCGAGTCAGACTCGAGTCATGAATTTGATGACTTCAGACTCGACTTGGACTTGCATAACAATGACTTTGTCCCACCTCTGAGGTGTGGACTCGAGTCATGTGACTTGGACTCGAGTCAGACTCGAGTCATGAATTTGATGACTTCAGACTCGACTTGGACTTGCATAACAATGACTTTGTCTCACCTCTGAGGTGTGGACTCGAGTCATGTGACTTGGACTCGAGTCATGAATTTGATGACTTCAGACTCGACTTGGACTTGCATAACAATGACTTTGTCCCACCTCTGAGGTGTGGACTCGAGTCATGTGACTTGGACTCGAGTCAGACTCGAGTCATGAATTTGATGACTTCAGACTCGACTTGGACTTGCATAACAATGACTTTGTCCCACCTCTGGATGTACCACGTGCATACATTATGTATGCTGATTTATTGTGACCAATCCAACTAATAATAGGTATCTATTGTAACTTATATGACTACATTAACCCCTGGTCTTCGCACCTGATCGGCTCACAGTGACGACATCACATTTACCCCTTCTATTTAAGACAGAAACAGGAGGAATTCTCCAAGATTCTGGATGTCACCTGATGAAGATGGCTGTAATTAGCGGCGAAATGCCGTATTCGAATTGAAATTGTCGTGGGTTTACTCTCCAATACACCGGTGTGCTGAACTAGTAACTAATTGCCATGTTTTGTTTACGTGACAAACCTTGCTAATTGGCTGTGTCGAGTGGTGGCGGGTTTAACGACACATTTATATTTGCGCCATCTAACCCCCCAACAAAACCTCTCTATTATTGGATCAAAGGAGGATGTGTGCACAAACACAGAAGTGGACGTGCGACTGCTGATACTTACGGGAGCTCCACGACCACCGGCGGGGCCAGCAGGGCCAGGAGGACCTCCCTCACCCTGCAGTCGCAACGACACCACCGTAAACATCACGTGCACCGGCACGGACACAATGCACAACAAACATGTGGTTCGTATTGCACAGGCGACAGCTCCTTTGCCAAACCACAGCGGCTGCACGAGGACCTTCCCCCCACACTGTGTGTCTCGGAAGGGTTTATTGCGCACCGCACTTCACTACGCTGGTGAGTGTGGCTGAGTGAACTCGGTGAGCATAGACGTTGAGGCATAATACATTACAACATATTGATTTTGTAGCACTGTGTCTTGCTGACAACGTCGTCCCACAAAACAGCCTACAACAGCTGTTTTAGGCATAGTGGTCACCCATCCAAGCACTATGCAGGCTCAAGACTGCTTAGCTTCCAGAGATCTGACAAGATTGGGCGTATTCCAGGTGATGTGGTAGCCTGCAGTTGTCTTGATAAGAATGCATCTACGCGAAATATAACAGGACAGCACCATATGGCTCACTCTGTGCATGTTAGTGAATGCAATAATTGTATTACAGGCAACACGCGTATTGAACAATACACTGCATTCAAAAATACACTTGGAAAATAATACGATGTGAGTAACGTTAAACGCTTCTCGTGGGTGCCATTGCAGGCAAGTGCAATGTTTTCAAGAACACCTGTAACTGAACCTAATTCAAAGGGCTGTCGTGTTTCATTGGGATAGCTCCATCCAGTGGTCACACACTTGCACTACACCATCTACACTACCCGGAAAAATCCGACACGAGAGTGAGATCACGCGTTTGCTCATCTTTCGTCTGAGCAGTGCAGACATCAAATATGTGCTTTATATTATAGAATCCTTAAAGCGGAACAAGTTAAGCTTCAATTATACCTATGGGGTCGTCCATAAATGACGTCACGCGATTTTGGCCGATTTTTTACCCCCCCCCCCCTCGTCACACGGCGTCATAAAAAGTCAGACCCCCCTACAATATGACGTCACAAAGCTCTGCCCCCCCCCCTAAAATCATATTTCCATTTTGAAAATAAAACATGCTTCAAATCACTATAAACTATTGTCATTTAATGTGGCGCTGCACTCTGATGTAGTAGGAGAAAACGTATTAAAAAGGAGGCTTTGGAAAGCTGAAATTTTGCATAAAATTCACCTGAAAATATTCAACGTCTAACTAAAACTGCAGATTATTACAAAAAAATACTTGAAACTTTGTAGTAGAACGAAGTAAAATGGAGAGTACAATTATAACAATCACATATTCATTCCACAGAATGAAAAACCCTGGTAGAATCATTAGAATCAACATTTTAACAAAAATCATCAAAAAATGTATGCTTCTCCATTCTCCCATGGAGAAGCAAAATGCTCCTTGATGGAATAAATAAAAGGTGACCTTAGTAAATTTAAATTATCAAATAGTTAATGAAAATTAATCAAAATTAGTGTTGTTATAACAATTCTTATTTAATTAATATTGATTTAAAGTTGCGCATTTTGATGTGACGTCACATTACTCAAACCCCCCCTCCCCCCCTCGTCAGACATCGTCACAAATGTCTGACCCCCATCCCCCCCCCCTAGGTGCGTGACGTCATTTATGGACGGCCCCTATGTAGTCTGTAACTTTAAAGGTCACATCGGCATGTGTATATTAAATAAGGAAATTGCAGAGCTATTCCAAAGGCGAATCTAGGCTCAAACGTGTTGCGATTTAGATATATTCAATTACATTGAAACCCTTCGTAAAATGTTATAGGCATCAGGCTGTTTTCATGGATTTTTTGATTAGGGTTATACGTATGTATGTATCTTGAACTTCTTTCACACCATACGTAGCCAACCATGTCAATCGGAGGTGCGGGAAAAGGACAAGAAACTCAACTGTGAGTTAGTTTGGAAAAAGAAAAGAAACACGAGCAGGGTTTCACAGGGATAAACATGCAGTGCTCATGATTTTAAATCGCTACCCACTATGTGTCGGGTTTTGGGGCCTCACACTGGCGTGGTAAGACACTGAGGTGGTGCTGGGCGCAAAGGCGACAACTCACCCTCTCTCCGTTGGATCCGGTGGGGCCAGCTGGGCCGACTGGACCGCTCAATCCCTGATGGACACACGCGAATATACGTTAAAGCAGGACAGAGAGACACAGTTAGTCGTGGTTCATATGTGTTGTGTTTTATAGATTCATGCGTTGTTCTGTTCTTAATCGACGATTGAATAACATGAAACACCAAGATTCACTTTTCACTTTTCTTGTTTTGGTGTTAGGAGCCAGAGATTAATTTTACTACCACTAATTTAACAACGATTGCGTATTTCAGACTTATTTCTAGATATGGCGAGATGAAGACAAACTGTCAGAATTTCCAAGTGAAGAGATTGCATGTTTTGTGCTCCGTGGTCAGAATAGTGTCTCAAGATTTCGCTTCTATAAGCCATGAAATGCTACTCCCTCCAGTGGTCACACACCTGGGGTTTCATTGTCAGGACACACATTCTCAAACACACACTTTATAACAAAGCTTCGTGGCAATCTCTATTCTTCAACTGTGCTTCTTGGCCCTACAAATATTTATGAATTGCAAACTTACTGAAGTTTGTTTTACTTTGCACTGTTCAACATACCTACCGAACATCTCATGAAAACCAGCATTATGGACTTCGATTAAACTGTAGTCCTCACGAAGTCTGTTTTGTATGCAATGCCTACCAATAAAGTAACCCTGTTTTCAGAGGATGTTAAGTGGCCTTCCAACGAAAGACACAATATGCTCATGGTGTTGTGCTGTATCGACTTCGTGTGGGCAAAAACAATGCTTAGCGCTCGAACGTTGCAGGATAGTGTGAAAGTGCAGTGGTCGTGTTTCTGAGCGAAAACCAAGGGTGACTTTCTGCGGCTCAGAAAATTAGGAGGTACTCACCCTGGGGCCATCCTTGCCGGGACCACCAGCGATACCAACAGGACCAGCCTCGCCCTGGGGGATATCACACAGACACAGGCACAATGACATCATGCTGCAGGACAAATTTACAATGCAGTGCAGTAACTGCGCATGCATTATTCATGTATTTTAGGTAGTAACTATTTATTTATTTATGATCAAACTCAGTTTGCTGACACCACAACATCATTAAATAATTCTGATCCTATTCCTGAATTTAACATTTTGTGTCATAATATGCTAAAAAGTGCCATTCTCATTCATGAAATAGTGATATGATGTTGGCAACTATAGTTCGTTAAGGCACGTGATCCCACTTCGAGATTGCAATACAATGATGTAGCAATGTGATGCCCATCAGCATTACAGGTATTTCCCCAATACTGGCTTTCTCTCATGAAAAAAATACTGTATATTATATATTTGGCTGTATCGCTCATTGAAAATACCTTCCATATATTAATTTAGGCTGTCCCAGATGAGCAGCTCTTAATTGCAAGAGACACAACAAATTTATATCATTTACCAAGGTATTGCTGAATTTATTTAATATCTACAAATTGACTAAATTGAACACAAACCCTTTGATATGACCATTGCCAAGGTATCATGATCTCAGAATCGCGAAGCAAAATAAGCATACCAATTTGTATTGCTTTTTGAAATCCTGTAATAGCACTTGTAGGATTGTGAAACTAGTATCGCTATACATGCAGGTATCTCCAATAATAACATCATAGGCATTTAAAATCTAAATTGTGTTTAGTTTGTTGTCCTTCGTAAGGTGCAAAAAAGTTCAACATTCATACGCACATTGTGTGACCCTGTCCTAATGCCACGCAGTGTTTATGTGGTTGAACAAATCCACACGCATGCCCGCGTCTCCCCCGCAAGGGGACCGGGTACTCACCCGCTCGCCCTTGGCGCCAGGCAGACCAGAAGCTCCGCGCTCTCCCGGCATCCCTTGCAGGCCGGCAGCACCAACAGTGCCCGCGGGACCAGGGGGACCAGCAGCACCCTGCACATTGCACACGAAGAGCAAGACCTCCCGTTTAGTCAGGCACCATCACAGGGGATACGTGGCCTTCAAGATCAAGATGTCATCATGGCCAAAGCTCTTGCTGCTACCACACGTTGCCAATGCTTTCGACCTTCTGCCAGATTCCGCAGCTGCTTCGCAGTAGACGCGTGGCATCTAAGATCTGCCACAACTGTATCTCACCATCCGCTCTGAGGTCTTTCATTTGGTGGTTTGACTTGTGGAGACCATTCCCAATGCACGTCTCATTACCCGGCCCTCCTCCAATCTGCAAATGTGTCCAACCCGGTGCAATAATGATTGTCTAATCACGTCTACAACACTCACCTGTCATGTTCTCTTCCAGACTTGTACATTGCTTAGCCTGTATTGCCATGACATTCCTAGCATCCATCTCAGACAACATATGCTCAAAGGCTAAGAATCGTTTTTTTGTAACTGTTTAGTTATCAAGCACCTACTGAGACCACGCCTTGCCAGTGGTCCCCGTGAAAGGTGTCAGGCGTCACGTTGCTGGCCCGCGATCTCACCAACGACTGCTCGAACCCCAAAAGCGTAATTGGTGCAGCAGGTAAAGGACCTCATCTTCTCCATAAAGATCACTGATAATGAAGCCAGTGTGAGCCAAGCCAGTGTGTGTGTTTGTTTGTGTGCATAGACAAGTCTCATAGTCACACATTACAGGCTCAGAGGACAGTACCGTCTACCAACGGTCCTGGTGCTAAGGTCCCAGTTAATAGAGCTTTCTCTCCCGTGAAGCTTAGGACCACTATGTGGTGCTGTCAGCTGGCAGGATCTTTGGGATCGTGGGACCGTGAAGATCGTGAATTCGTTGTCCGAGTCGGGCCACCAGGATCGCCCGTTTTCATCGCCCGCCATGGCACGTACCCTAGCTCCATCCTGGCCAGGAGAACCGTTGCTTCCACGGGGTCCGGGTGGGCCCCCTGGACCGGTTTCTCCCCTCTCTCCGGGAGCTCCACGCTCGCCCTACAGGAACACACGGTCACGCGTACCGCTCAGCTGAAGCCTCATCTTCTGACTTGGGTTTTATCCTGGTGTAAATTTCGTGCATTTGTTGTTACAGACTATGTTATGCACCCTTTATATTAGTCAATGACTATGGGGTGGATGGGTACAGTTTAACTGGTTATGGTTTTATGATTGATTTTGCCTGTAACATCAGGCCACGCTCTGCAGATGAGACTCAAGAGAATTTAAAATCAGTGCAAGTTTAGGCTTGCTTAAACAACGGTTGTGAGGGAACGTGGGTCTAGATAGCAGATGCATTGGTGGACATTTGTTTTAATAATGAAACAGACATTACTACCAATGTGGTTATTTTGTTATTATGTATTATATTACCCACAATCCACCAAGAAAGTGCCCACTTATTCTGTTTCCAAAAGGTTGTCTTTGTTTTTGCAAATACGCGTAAGTATTGAAAAATTAAGTTATCCAACTCAGTTCCGTAAAACGGAACTCAACCGCATGGCAACCATGCTCGATCTTTCATTCACTCTGTAGCTTCATTGTGTTTCGTGATGCAGTTTTCATACATTTACACGTGTTAAGAGGGACTACTTTTCTTGACCAAATGGCACTGGCTCCTGCGTAAGGCTGTGCGTTTGACGTAGAGAAGCATTGGTGGTGGGGAGGCAACACTTACTCTTGGACCAGCACCACCAGGCATCCCATTCTCACCAGGGAGACCCTACAGAGACAGAGCAGAGCACAGTGGACAACTACCCACAACACACATAACAATGACATAAAAAACACAAGATTTATTTTATTTATCCAGGTAAGACCCACTGAGCTAGAAAGCGCTTCTTTCAGAAGCGACCTGGCCACAAATGATAGCTCAACGAAGTGGCTTATCGCGTGGACATGTATGCCAGTCAAATGCTCTAAACGCATGTTTCAAGACAAAAGTCCACGCGACCACGGGGAGAACATGCAAACAAATATACGGGTGTCAGGTTTCAGGATCGAACCCACGACCTCCCGCAACCACCTCGCCAGTTGCAACCACACCTAAGACAATCCTGAAAGTGAAAAACTATATTTACAGTCAATTACATTTCATGCTGTGTACTGGCAGAGGCGTAGAGACTGTGGTTGTTATTATTATTACTGAGACTCCACATGAGTGTAAACAAGCTTTTGTTTCTGGAATCCCTTCATTGTGCAGACAGAGGAGGAGTGGAAGAGACCTGTGTACATTTACACAAAATAAGCACAAAAACCTTTTATTTATGAGAAACCCCCCCCCCCACCCATAAATGTCAGCACTAGACGGGTGCATTTTCTGCACCGATATTTCTAAATTCTTCACCAGCTTTAAAACACTTCCTTAAATGTTCAGTGATCACGTGATGAGCGTCATTTCAGTGATGCTGATGATGCCCTTTTGTGATAACCACGATTCAAGCAGCGTAAATGTTTGCGATAATGTGTGTATTCGCGTACACGTGCGCGTGTGGTGTGCACATGCATTTGTGACTTTGCGTGCATGTCCGTGTGTGTGTGGTGTCTGAAAGAGACATCCGTGCAGGCCATGCACTGTCAAGATGCCTACCGGCTCGCCAGCCTTGCCAGGCTCTCCAGGCGCACCAGGAGCACCAGGCAATCCCTGCACGACAAACGACGCTGTCAGAACGCTGTGCCCACCGCACACCGGGCAACACCCTCGGACGGTCACAACTGTGGTGAACAGTGCTGCCTGCAACTCTGCAGTCACACGCTGTGTCATGGGGCCACTGCCTCCATCTCCTTCACATGGCATTGTCATAGAGTAGACGTTCCATTTGGAATACTTAGTTTTATATATATACTGTGTAGTACATGTGTTGTAATAGTTGCAGAGGTATTAATATTACATTTAACAATTTCAGAAAACAAAGGCAATGAATGACCTTCAATTGCATTAACTCCAGCTTGACAGGACACACATTACGCATAACTATTTTGAGCTTTTTGTTAAACTCAGACACACAATGCAAAACATGTAGACTCTGTCTGGATTCATTCATGTGATTTGTCGTGTAGTGTTGTATTCAATTAATTATTTTTACATGACAAAATGTGACGGGCTATAAAAAATGAATAAGGGGAGCACATTTTATATGGGCCGGATGTGGTATGAATGTACACTAATGTTAGCTGATACCTGAAAACCAGGGGCACCAACGGGACCAGCTTCTCCCCTCTCTCCACCAGCACCCTGTTCATTATATCCGTAATGCAAGACACAGACACACACAGAGACAGACATGTCAGTGCATTCGTAGACGAAAAAAATACTTTGATTTTACATCCGGGCTTCCTACTCTCTTTTTTCTGCTGGTCATTTTGATTTCCATGAAAAGAAAGCAGGGTATGAATTTTTTTTTTACTTCAGCGGGCAACAGGGTTCGTGACCTGCTCATAAATTGAACTACGGTTTTGCAAGCGGTAATTTAATACTACCAACTGCGAAAAAGTAGACGTTTTAGTATTTACTATTATTAAATTCAGTAAAAGCCCGTTTAGATGAAGTTTAGTTTTTGCTCAGGCAGGTGAGAACTCCAGAGACCAGGGTGAGTCTGGGTCACCAACATTACAAGCCAAACAATAAATATATAAGCTACTGAAATTTTGCTGAAATCATCGCAAAAAATAATTATATCAAATGAGGAAATGAAAATCAGTCAGTAAATATGTAAATTAATTGAGATAAAATTGTAGGTAGATGCTTTAATAATCCAAATAATTTTGCCATTGTATAATCATGCTGAAACTGATGCAATTATACAGTTAAACATGACATTGTAAAAAGTATACTATGAAAAGGATGAGGCAGTTATTTTCAAAAGTGAGTATACATTATTGGCAAATCAGGTTTGTAGTCACTGGAGATGTAGGAAATTGACTAATTTAAATGCAGTTGGATGGGGTAATGTATTTGTGATGTTTTGCAAGGCATCTGGGTAGCTTGGTGCTTAGCGTGATTACCACTGAGTCAGGTTGCAAGGCGCCGTTAGCTGTGAGGGATTCTTGTGAGGGCATTATTAAATGCATAAATTGCCAGAGTGCGATATGGCATGTTGATGTCACAGCGCATGCCTCCAATTAAAAATGTATCTGCAACTGAATTATACAATGAAAGCTGTTCCTACAGAATTACATCTACTCTTGCCTTTCTTGCAAATGTATCTAATTGGGCTCCCACCTAGACACAAAGTGGATAATGGAATAATTCTATTGAGGTCATAAATAATACCGTAATAATAATGGAGTATTAGAAACACCTGTATATAAGGCCATGACAGTATAATATGAAGATAAAAGGATCGAATTACAATAATGCCCTCTACAGTGTTAAAGAAATACTCGCTGAGTGTTTCCAATTTATTTTCAGGAGGACCTTCACAAGGGATGTCTGGCCAAGCAGGACTGATTACGTAAGGGGCCTTGAGTGTGCCGCTGCGTTTTCGCGAGTAAATGCTACTGCTGTGTGTGCAGGTGTGGAGGTTTTCTCAGCGTGGTTACGCACAGCAGGCCCAGCGGGACCAGCAGGGCCAGCATCTCCATCCTTGCCAGGCAGACCCTGTGAGAAAGCACGGAATACAGTCGGTCAACATCTGCATCATGAAACTGTCCAAATGCGTCAGCTTCCATTACTGATTCTACTTCGAGTGACAGCTTTGTCCATTTTCAGAGACAATTACGCTGCACAATAACTCGTATCTCTACTGCAATTAACACTGTTGGACCACTATGATTGACAGCGTGGTATTTAGTAGTTTTTATTAGTTCTCATACTCTTAACATCAGCCACGCAGGCTACACTGGCAGGTGCTGCGAGTGGGAACCTACAAAGGTGTTGCATGGCACACGGGGAGGTGGTGTGGCCAGCACCATGGCCAGCCAACTTATGCCTCACCAGGATTGACGTGTATGCACCGTAACAGGTACTCGTGTAAGGCTGAGTCAAATTAGGGGAGGCCAGAACAAGGTAAAATATCACTCGCCTATTCATCTTTAGACATAGCAATAGGACATAGTTATATGTCCAAATGGCAAAGAGATCTCATCGTCTAAAATTCTGGCTATTTTGACTAGTGTTGTACATTTAATAACATTTCTACCAAGTACAATTCAAGTAGAGTCTGGGATTCAAGGTTGGCACCCACGAGGTCAAGGCTGAAAGCCATCAGGCCAGGAGCCTTTTATGTCAAGGCCAGTGTCAACACCCCCTTAATGATGTGTGATGTCACACGAGGTCCTCGGGAGCAGAGGTGAGTGCGTGATGTGTGACATCATTGCCTTGGTCGGCCAGTCTTATCTTTTAATTGATGGATTTACGTGCGAATTTTTGGGTAACCCTTTGGTCAATTTGGCTGGTTTTCTCCATGGTAAGACCATAAAGGGAACACAACAATATACTAAAGTTGAGAGTTACCGTGACCCGTCGCTACACAAACAATGACAAATCTCATGCATTAACGCTCGAACACCCAACTCCTCAAATCCCTTGGACCGAAGGCACCAAAAGCCAGAGCCCTGAGGTCAAGGTCAAGGAAAAAAACCTGATAAAATGTCCATGAGCTGCCTCAAGGCCAAGGACTGGTCCCGAGAACGCGAGACTGATTTCATGCATCCAGTTCATGAGGATTGCAACAACACTCATGCCAGCTATGTTTTGGTACTGAGTATAAGCAACACATGCTGTGGATGGAATACACATTACGGCTCAGACAGCAGAGGGCACTTACAATGGGGCCAACGGGTCCAACAGAGCCCTTCTCTCCAGCCTTGCCAGACTCGCCCTAGGGGAACACACAGGACACAAAGACCGTTGACATTGAGTTAATTCACAAAGGCCATTGACATGAGCGGTCAACATGAATAAAGTCTGAGTGATGGGAACGCAGGTTACAATTGTACAGATTCAAATTAAGTACTGGAGCTCAGGGCAGCTGAAATTTAACCACTACACCACCACTGCATCACTGCTAATAATATATGTCGACGGTACACTTCAGTGCCTGGGAGCTGCAATAATATTTTTTTCACGATGAAAATAACTCGGAAGTCAACTGTCTGTGATATCTAAAAGGGCATCTGTGCATTGGTACATGTATTGTTCCCTTTTATTTAATGCATCCCCTTCAAAACAACGGAATCCTGAATGGGATGTCAATTGAAATTGTACAATTTTTCAGCCTCGTGTAAAAAACATCACTTCGACATGAACACTGATTTTTTTTTTATATTGTGAATAGAGAACAGCAAAAAAACCACCCTGTACGTTGAGGAGTTTTAATCGACATTCAGGAGAACACTGCATCTCCCACTGAGACCAGTCACGTATAAAAAATAATTCAGAGGATGGGGTTAGGAACATTGAATACACCTCCTGTCCAGCTGCCACTGCTCTGTTTCCAAGAAAAGCCACTGTTCGCTTCCCAGTGCCCTTCCCCAGTAAGGTGAAAATATTTTCAGGGTAACATTTCGTGAAATGATGTAGACTAAATGAATCTGCCGATAAACCCATGATTGTGCTTCAAATGTTTCCACTGTGACTGAGCAGGCTACCTACAGCAGGCGGTTGTAATTGTACATTGAAATCAATAACAATGAATGAGAATCTTTTCAACTGTATTTCAGCATGCATCGCCTACACAGACAGATGACAGTAGGTCAATGTGTGTGTGCAGCACTTAATGAACCTAGGCAATTCCGAAAATGAGAAGTAATTGCAAACATTGATCCTCTAGCCATGAATTAATTCATGGGAATTCACTGCCACTCACGTCAAATTAATTAAGCCATCATCATACAGACTGAAAGGAAAATTTCACATTTCAGAGACAAGAGTGGGGTTTAAATTCAGGGGCACTTACGGATGGACCCTTGGCACCAGGGAAACCCATTGCTCCAGGAGCGCCACGAGCACCAGCAGCACCAGGGGATCCAGGGCTACCATCATTTCCAGCGGGGCCCTGTATTCAGATGAAAGTCCACGGGCAGGAGGGCAATGGGACATGAAGGACATATTGATTCAACGCGCAAAGAACAATTCACCCCACCGGTGGTTCGACGAATTGTCAGAAACAAGCGTCGACATTCTATTCAAGTACTAATTATTTTCATTCGTCTTGTTTTTTCCATCTCGATGTATTGTTTATATTACTTTTTATCTCATTCTCACAGTAGTGTTGCTCAATTAGCTCAAATGTAACATTGGCATACTATTTTGCATGCGTGTACATACATTTCAGAAAATATATTATCACACCCACCATTTGATACATTCATTGAGTGCAACAGTGATTTCCATCAAAGTATCGATTCATTATATAATGGGCTTATCTTCACCAAATTCAATAAACACAAATATATCACGGCAACAAAGAACAATTGAAACAACATGCAAATGCAAAGTACATTAAAAAATAAGGAAATGTGTTTATGCCATCATTATATATATGTTGACATTTTATTTTTTAATTTAGTCTATATAATAAAACCAAGGTGAAAATAACAACAAATATTTACACATTGGCTATAGCAGAAAAATATGCATATCAAAATGTATTGTTCCAGCAATGCTTTAATGCTCAGAAAAATGGGACTTCGTTTATCTTGTTTTTATTCATTCTTGAAACATAACTACTGTTCTCAGCTTGCTGAAATAGGATGGTCATTCATAAATCAGTGGCATAAAAACACAAACGGCAAAGCCATCAAAATACATTCACAGTCGATAGATATGTGAACCTGTATTGAAGTTTGCAATTTTACGCATCAATAATATGGAACAAAACGGAGAGAAAAAAACACACACACACGTCCACTATACACAACCACCCAGAATAACATCAATATGCATGCTCTTGGCAGAGGTCGTTTAGACATTGACTGGCCTATAAGGAGCATGAAACCAGGCAGACAGGGTACTCACGGGGGGACCGGTTTTGCCATCGCTGCCAGCGTGTCCGGGACTTCCAGTGGAACCCTACAGTTCACGCGCACAAACACATCATGGTCAGTTACAAGCTCATTGGTAGAACCCTACGGTTCATGCGCACAAACACATCATGGTCAGTTACAAGCTCATTGGTAGAACCCTACGGTTCATGCGCACAAACACATCATGGTCAGTTACAAGCTCATCATTTCACTTGTCTTTTTGAGGATGTATATTACCAACTTTTCACTGTAAAAGGTCCACTACTATTGCTACTATAGATTTCGTTTGGCTGCAGAGCATTCTAAAAATACATATTTTTTTACATGCCTCACTAATGATGAGACTGAAAACGTTTTAATGCGGGTTCCAGAATGCCCTTATTTAAACAAATGCTGCTGGCGAACTTACGTGCTGAATGTGCTGAAATATACTTTTGATTTAATGGGGAAAGAGAGATGAATGGGACACTTTATATTATTACATTCGGATAGGCACAGTCACCATTGCTGTAAGTGACAAAACACTTTGCTATTTTAAATGAAACACCTGCGGTAGGGAACATTAACATAATGAGACACATTGTCACTACGAAACCTGTTGCTACTGCTACGATGAAACACATTGTCGTACTGAATCATATACACTGCTCCGACAAGATACCCTGCGATGCTGTGACCTACCCGAGGACCAGGAAGACCGGCCTCGCCAGGCCTGCCAGGGTCTCCAGAATTTCCCTTAGCTCCAGCTGGGCCTGTGGCACCCCTCTCTCCAGGAGGTCCCTGTGAGCGGGGAAGTTAACACACATCACACTCCTGAGCCACTCTCAGCAACTTCTTGAACAATACGAGAGCTACTGTGATGCATAATGCTCTGATGTTGCATGAACTCAAAGGCATCATTGCACAGAACTGCTTTTTTGTGTTAAGTTTGCACTCCTTCCCTGCACCTCCGATTAGCAAGGTTGGCTAGGTATGGTGCGAAAGAAGTTCGACATACATCCATACATTGCACACTTCACACATTAGAAACATTCACATCTAAGGTGTAAACGGATTATAGCATGAACTTAAATGTACACCTTGTATATTTAATTATCATAATTGCATCTTCTCAGTGGTTTTGTTGTTGAAGATTAATGTCACACAGTATGATGTAATGAAATGGTTTGATTTCTAAAAGCGTTACATATTTAAATGTCATAGAAAGGGCGTGAAACGGGATATTTAACAATAAATGGAATAAACAACATGTATGTGAAATGTTGCATAAACGTATGCCAAAGTGTTTCAGATAAGCTCTTAAGCTACAAAATTTAATCATTTCTGTACTTTAACTTCGATAAGCCAGGGCGAATATAAAAACAAACTAAACAAAATATAATAATGAATGTCAATGGGTACCCCGGCTATGTTGTAGGTATAGCTTCAGAATGACAATTCTCTTCGATTTATATTACCTTGCAGATTGTAATTACTTGTGAAAACAAGCCCTGAATCATGTTTTTTTTTCGTTTCAAAATGTATCAACACAGCCTGCCTCTCAACAAGTGCAATCTTGCATTGCATGGGATGTGCAGGGTCGGTATGAAAAGCGGTGCTACCTTTGCGCCAGGTGACCCATCTCCACCAGGTGCTCCACGGCTTCCATGTGCACCCTGCGAATGGCAGCGAGCAGAAACAAAACGCTCAAGGTCATTGGTGGTGTGGCCAGTGGCGGCGCTGGACATAAACGAACCAAGACAAAAGCTCAGGGACCCAAGTAGCACAAGGTCCCCAGATTAATTAACAAAAATATGGGTGCATCAAATATTAGCTAAAATGATGCTCGTAAACAAAATCAGCTTACGAACATAGCACATGACACTTCATCTATCTCGACTCTATCGTGTCCGCATCTCTCTTCTCTCTATTCAATACCTATCTATATTTGTCTATATTTCTGTTATCTCACTACAGCTATGTATATTATCTATATACTGTATTTTGTCATCTCATGAGGATATTCATTCATTGAAAGGGGGCCCCACAAAATAATTTCTGGTTAGGGCTCCCAATTGGCCAGTACCATCACTAGATGTGGAACACACAACCCACATTTTTTTACAAAGCAAAGTATGCGGGTCCCAAGCTAACACAGGGCCAGTAGGCAACCACTACCAATTGTACCTTTGCCATGACCTGCATAATCTCTTTCAACCTTTTCCATTATACTATGTATACCGTGAGGCATTGGAATCCACATTTGCGAGCAATAATCTACTAAGTTTGGTTGAGATAAGATCTGATTGGGTGCATGCACAGCTATTTTGTCAGTCCACTGGATGGGGGCCACCCCATACTGTCCAAGTAATGGGGGTTATTTGACCATACTTCACCCTGCTGGTCATTCAGAGTTGGTGAAGGTGAGGAGCATCGCACAGGACGTCATTGCCTTTTGTTGTACTGCTCTCTGCTGCCCACAATTTAGCCCTTCAACGCTGCACGGTGGCCACCCATCCAAGCCCTGTCCGTTGTGAGATCTGATGAGATCGGACACTTTCCGAGTAATTTTCCAGACGATTGAATGGTGAGTTAAACGTGTGTTTTTAACCGACAGTTGTATTAATATACAATAGTTTATTGAGCTTTGAATTGAAGGCTAGTTATAATATTGTTGTTTGGGCCTATATTGTGAATTTATATTTGTTAGTTTTTTCCAGGTCTTAAAAGTACAGACACAATATTTTTTGTACCAGTCCTGAAATACATCCTACACAGTCGCTTGTATATCTACGTGAAGTAAAATGAAAAGGATAACGATAATATTAATGTGAGAATTTTAGACAAATATTGTGTGATGTTATGATGGCGTCTTGTTCCAGGCATAAATCATTCTAATAATAAGCCCATTTGGCTGATGTTATCAGCGTTTGAAATTGTGTAACCATGGAAATCTCACTGGATATCAATAAGTTTGATAAGTATTTTGCTTCGTATTCGCAGCGCACAACGCCATTGTACGTTTATTGTCGCGTGCCTACTTCAAAAAGCCCTTCACTGAGGAGCTCCATTGTGAGTCACTTGCGATTTCATAACAAAGCATTTGAGAGCGCGTTTCCTTGTTAATTGGCACCGCTCACAGCTCTGGAATACGCAAGAGCCGCCTTACCCTCTCGCCAACGGGGCCGGGTGGGCCTCCGGATCCAGGCTCTCCACGACCGCCACGCTTGCCGGCTGCTCCTGTTGGGCCAGAAGGTCCCGCACCCCCAGATGGGCCCTGTTGACGCAAGGTGAGGCGTGGGGAAGATGGCAACAGGACACAAGTCATTCGCATCGCTGGACCCACGCTCGCAAACGGTGCATTTCTTCTAGCTAAACGAAGATACAGCGTTTCTAGTGCAGCCCAGTCTTGTTGAGCTATGTTGTGCTCTTTTTCTTAAACATGTAACCTCATGGCTGTTACTCCCATTCTCACTCTATGATGCAAAATCGGAGAACTTATTGCGTACGGCCAATTATATTGCACGAATTAAGTTTGATGCATGAACTCTAACGACTGTCCTATAGATCGACAGTAATGCACATGCATACCGTGACCTGGGGTACCTGAAGCTAACCCAAATTAGTCCGTCGAATGTAAATGTCACTTATCACGGGGTGAGAGTTTTCGTTGGCAGTGGTAACAATATTTATACCATAACTGAATACCACAACTAGTGCAAAGTACACAATGAATAAAGTGACAACAGTGAATTGAAGATGATGTCACCTACATGTGATGGGACGACATTACTACCCAAACCATGCCCATATCTATTTTTTTCATGAATCATGTGACTTACAGAAACATTAGATATGGGCATGCAGCCAAGCAGATGCCTATTATTTGGTGTCAAGCTCTCATATTTTTCCAAACAGAATACGCATTGCCTATCTGCCAAAGTACGCCACGAATATTGCGTGTCCATTCATACCTAAGCTACAATAAAGTTCCTGACTCACGCAATCTCTCCTGGGTCATCTTTTTTTTCTATTTGAAATCATTTACAGACGTAGGTGTCACCATACTCACAGGGTCACCCTTGGCACCAGGCTCACCCTTGTTTCCATTCAGGCCAGGCTCTCCCTGCATGGACACAGATACCAAAGCAGTCAGCACACACAGCATTACACTATTACGTTATTACGGTGCTGGGAAACACTAAGCCACACTCTTTGCCTTGGCATCACAAACTATCACAGGGTTGGGTGATCAGGGTGGCTACCCAGAGTGCTGTGCTGAGGAATGACAGGCCTCAAACCTATTATGGGGGCAGTAATTCACAGGGTTATGCAAGTATAAACTGATGGATGACACACACGTGGGTAGTCAAATAGTGGATAACAGATGGAAACACATGTTATGGTTATTATTAGAGCATTATTTTAAAGTGACGACACGTAATTCTTCGTTTGACGAGGTTGCCGTTTATGTTAAGTAAAATTTGGATAAAATGCATTTAACCAATGATAATCCAAAGGTAGGTTTAATAGTAAGTAACTGGACATAAATTGTTCAAATGCATTCAGGTTTTTATGTTGTGTTTGGTACTTTTGAGATAAAGTCATAACAAAAAAATGTTGATTTAAAATATGGGATATGTATATTATGCCCTAGTAATTAGGATGGATACAAATGCATACTCCTTCAATAGGAAAATGTAAGTATACAAATGCTGCTTATGTTACCTTATACATAAAATAACATCCATAATAACATGTTATCTCAAAATCAGAACTGTTTTTTGTATCAATAAGGGGGAACAAATTATCTAATATTTCAGACCGATTGACAGAACCATTAAAATGAGTATTTCTTAAAGAGTTCCAAACAGTTGAAACCTCAAAATCTTCCTTTGATGTCAGTCGCCTGAACATAGTGCTAGATTTGAGGCTGGTGTTATGGCAATATTATTAGTATTAACCTTGACTCTAATACTCAATATTTGTAAATAGGCAAGGATTAGATTTTAACATGAAAGCTAAGGTTGTGTTTTACATCTATCAACAGGTTCTGGTTTTAGATTGAAGTAAAAACTATGGCCATTGTTTGTATTGGGGCTGATGGAAGATGGAAAGTTTTCTGCTCACGGCCAACACCAGGGACGATTATCTGAAACGGTCCTGGGCCTCTCCTAGATCGACTCAGCCTCAAATGAGTACCTGGTGCGGAATGTAAACATTTCCACCGGGGAGACAAAGGCGGCCGGGCGTGGTGCTGGCCGTGCCGGCCTTCATCGGTGCTCGCTAACAGCACTTGCCCCTACAGTCTTCAAAGGATTTAGGGGAATGGATTTGTATTTGTGATAGAAAGATGGCTTACACTGGCACCCCTGGGGCCCGGAGGTCCAACTGATCCGGCAGCTCCTGGGCCACCAACACTTCCTGGGGAACCTGGGGCACCAGCCATGCCATGGGCACCCTGGTGATATGCACAGAAAGAGAAATACACGTGATTAGTCAAATGTTTTTTCACACATCCACATGCACGCTCTGGCATTGGAAATATAACAAATGAAATTATGTGGGGAGTAATAAAAAAGACTTCTCCATTAAATATGCACAACTGGGTATACACACATGCAACATATTATAGATAATATTTTGTATGTGTGTATATAAAGGGTACCTAAGAATTAGGATGAGGCAATTGTACTATTTACTATGTTAGCTAATTCACTATACACTCATAATCAGCAGCTGTCATGTATCCACTATCTTCAATCTATCTTACTCCTGCACATAAATAGATCTTATCAATTCCTCTCCGGAGAGGGATGTCCTCTCAGGGGTGTTTCCTCCTCTGGTTGCCACCCCCTAACCAGTCTCGTCCATTGGCTATCATCCATTTTAGCAATGCGTCTGACCCAAGTCCACTTATTATGTTTTATTCAATATGATGCCTCTAATATGCATTTGCTCTCTCATGCGTGTCATCCTCTTTCTGCCTCTGCTTGTCGTTCCCTCTGTACATTGTAAAAGAGGATCATAGTGCACGTCTTTAGGAGCTGCTGATGGTTTTATGCATAATATACAAAAGCAGAGAGAGTAGTTTATACACGTTTGTATGGCTCCTTATCACAAACGGCAGAGTTGGTGACTGAGCAAACGTATTCTGATCATACCAAACAAAAGCAGCCATTACAGCCAGGACAATCTTCCAATTCTATAAATGACTCGTGTGATTTTCTATTATCGCAGGATTTTCTGAAAAGCAATGAGAGCACAAACACAAAAGGGACTGCGTCCATGTGATGTTGAGCCATTGCAGGTGCAGGAGGTGATGATTGTAAAGGAAAATGACCCAGCGTTTACTTATCCGTGTTATCATGGTGTGTTTGATTGTGTTTTGTTCATACCGATTCACCCATTAAAAAAAACCTCATATGTAAGTATACCTTCAGCAGGAGGATAATGTATACACTATTGATTGGTCCAGGTAATATACATTATATCTGATATATGTATTACACTACTAAAAATATTATACTAATTACACATATTTACAGCTACAAAAATGTTGATGTAAAATATAATTATTCAGTTTAATTATTGTTTTATCACTGACCGATATTAAACTTGCCTCAGTTTTACATACTAACATATAACCATTCTCCCTACTCATTTCCTTGAATGTTAACTCCTTAACTTGGCATAATTTTCCGCGTATTTATCTTTAATTATGTTTTATCATTTTATATAGCCATGCTTCATAGGCCCCATTTGCAAAGGAACACATTTTATTTTGACCGCACTCATATAAGGAGCACATTTAATATCTGGGTGAAAATTATGGTTTGCAAAAGTTAACATTGTGATTTTATTTTCACTAAAAATATAACCATTTTCCCTACTCATTTCCTTCAATGTTAACTCCTTAACTTGGCATAATTTTCCGCGTATTTATCTTTAATTATCTTTTCATCATTTTATATAGCCATGCTTCATAGGCCCCATTTGCAAAGGAACACATTATTTTAACCGTACTCATTTAAGGAACACTTTTAATATCTGGGTGAAAATTATGGCTTGCAAAAGTTAACATTGTGATTTTATTTTCAGCCACCAGCTCATGAGGGACACCTCATGGTAATTAACTATCTGCATGGTGGGATGATGCATATTAAGCATCATTACCGGCAGGTGTGATACCGTAATACATACAGTACGTAATTAACATAAAACTGGCAAGCAGAATGCAATAAAACCCAATTAGTTCCCAGCCTCTTCCATATTAAATGGACATTCTGTCACACACGCATTTGCTAATTTGTCCGAAAATGTTTGCAGTTTACTAAAGCTGGAGTGCACTACCAAATGTAGCTTTACTACAAGCCACGTAAGCACATTTACCTTGACAGTCTATTTACGCTTGTGTGGGACTTACACATTTTTATTTAATGCTATCTGAGAATTACGAAGAGATAATATATATTTGTGTTAGCATGATGCAGAGTACACGCACAACAGCTGGAACAGCACAATGCTAACAGCATCGAGCATATGTTTAAAATCGAGTATTTATTCTCAACCTGTGTTTAAGTCGTATGCTAAACTGCAGAAGCTCCACCCCTCTCAATTATGAAGTTCAGTGTCATAACACAGCGTGTCAGTATTACATTTACGTGTAAATTGTGAATTCTTTTTTGCAAATAGTTTGATTTGTCGACTTACAGCAGCACCTTTGGCTCCAATACCGCCATCAGATCCTGCCAGACCCTGAAAGACATCACAAAATAATCACAGCTTTGAAAACCCAACAATATTTTCATTTCATGGGTGCCAATAGCAGCACGATTGATAATTATTACTGAATTCTTTATGCCTCCCATTTGAATTGGGTAATCGGATTTGTGTGGAGCTTGGTAATCAGTATTGGTAATGATGGACATTTGTGTGGTGGAGTACAGTATAAAGGATTTGGTGGGTTTGTATTACTGTAATTGGATTTGTTATAATTTTCCACCAGGGATCTGGTTTGAATTGTGTTCTTAAATACCATGGCCACCACACTACAGCAGTACTTCATTTAATCAGACTAATGCAAGTATCTCTAGGCTAACAGACACTGAACAATGTGTATAGTCTTGATTTGAAGCTTTCGTGACTGCAGGAATCCATTCTCTCTGGTTCTTTCGGTAAAGTCACGTAGGTAGAAAAAAATAATAAAAAAAATACGACGTTTCGGTCGCAACACAAGCGTCCATCTTCAGGTGACGTTCGGTCGCAACACAAGTATCTGTCTTCACCTGAAGCGAGACGCTTGTGTTGTGACCGAAACGTCGTATTTTCATTTCTTTTATTATTTTTTCTATCTACGTGACTTTACCGAAAGAACCAGAAAGAATGCATATAGTTTAAAATACAGATTTTACGAGTCATGGAACTTACATTAATTCGTGTTAAATATAGTACGACAAAATGTATACTCGGGTTGGATTATTATTGTGAATACACAACATCAATAGCAATTCATTTAAATAAGTAACATGATTGAAAAGCTGATTGATAAGATCTTCTAATTTTTTAAATTATTATTCAATAATATTCTTCCCAATAATAATGACGTGTGATTTCTTGATAACGCTGAATTGTAATGGCCCTGCTTGCGAATGATGCAAACTCTTATGTGTGAGCGCAGCAAGGGCTTTTTATGAGTTGTGTGGCCGCTCAGGAGATGCAGTGTCACTGCTTCGACGCACGGCAGGCCCAGCAGCTCCTGCAGGGCCTGAAGCTCCAGGCTCTCCACGCGGGCCCTGCGCCCCATCAGGCCCACGAGCTCCAGGTCCTCCTGTGTCACCCTGTGAATGCGCGACACACACACACAGATAGGCCTTCGTCAACATTCAACGTCTGTATGGATGGTCGTGATCTAGAAAAGAAGTAGGCTTCTCAAGGAATTGGAACGGTCAAGCACTGAAGCATATAATAAGGTGTGACATCATGTCATGAGTCAATTTGGGGTCTCTGAGGTACACAAATCCGGGAGAGACCACGGGAAGAAGAATATTTAATAAAAGCACAACAATATTTCAATGCATTGCCTCAAGTAGTGTATTGTAATTATTATTCAAATGGGGAAAAACATTGGGACTTTTGTTTCCCAGGAACATTGACCAGATATATCACGACAACTACCTCAAAAATAAGAACATTCTGGAAAAACTAGGACAAGGTGGAAACCCAGAGCCATATTCGCATTTACAGAAGGGCACAGATGAGCTTTTGGGCCACGTAGCATTTGGAGATCAAAAACCTTTGGTCATGCTGTTTCCTTGTTTAAGCAGTCTCGGAGAAACAAGGCATGAGGCATTTTCAGAAATAAACTCTTTAGGAAAATTATAAAAACATCCACAGACAAGAGGTAAGCTGCTTTAATGCAGTGTGAGGTCTTTAGATAAAGTTCATATTGCCTCAATAACACCTTACACGACTTCTGAAATAACCATAAACCTTTGTTATTCTTTCAAAATGTACTGTGAGTGTTCAAACAGAACTGTTTGCAACACTGGCTCAGCACTTCCCATGTAGATGAGCCTCATGCCAATGTTTATGTTAACAGCGAGATCCTTACATTGACCAAATAGTATTCGGGGGACATAATTTGACTTTGGCCATAATGACATTTTCCTCTTGATCTAGTATTCTATTACAAATGCACTAAATATGTTATTGCTATCGTCTCACTCACCTTGGGTCCTGGAGCACCGGGGAAACCAGCTGGGCCAGTGGGTCCGTTGGGTCCCTGTTTGGGAAAAATGAACACAATCATGAGTGAGGGATGAAGACTATACGATAGCCTACTCATTTCTTTTTGTTGACATGTAAATTGTGTTTCTAACCCCTCCCTCTCGCTGCCTCCGCCCCCCCTCTGTCTATTTAAGGCCACCCCACAGAGACGATCACCCCTCTCTGTACCTGTGTTGCCCGCTCTGTGTATCTTGGTGATATCTGTCTGCTTATATGTCTTTCTATAGTTTTTTCTGGTTAGATTTTATGTCGCTATTTCATTATACCTAATGATGATTGCTTGTGTTGCAATCGAAACGTCGTATGGTATTATTTAATTTATTATTTTTTCTTTATACGTGACTTTACCGAAAGAACCAAAGAATAATTCCTGCAGTCACGAAAGCTCCAAAGTTAAGATTATACGATAGGTAATTCGTAGACTTGTGACAGACACCTCAAGCCGAAGGACAATCTCATGTATCACTCCAAGTTGTGTATTTATTGTCCTGAGATGAGTCAGTTTATATTTTTCTTGTTTTGGGGACAGGGGAGATGGGCAGAAGAGAATCAATCCTGTACACGTAGATATTTTTCATCATTAACAACCATAACCAATTCACTGCTGGATGAAGGCATCCCCACGTCATAACCATCCACCAATGTCTTGCGATGCCATAATTAATTTCGCCCTTGCAGTTGAGCTAACATCAGATCGTTTGCAATTTGTAAGTTCAGTAGAGGAGATGTTGGTATTTTATAATCGGTCATGCTATTGTTCGATTTCTGCTTGTCGAGATATTAACCCTGTTTGCTAAAAAAAAACCATTTAAGACATATTTGAACGAAGTCTATTTTTAAATATTTAGGATGGCAATTATATGTATGAAACATTTTATAAACATGCAAAAATGATGTACATAAGTAAATGAACCAACAGATATTAATTCCCTAATATGAATCAAATGAAGGTATGGAAAACATCAATGCACCTATAACATAGGTTTCAACTTATCTTAGACTAAGGACTCTTTACCCTCTTGCAGACCTCCTGCAATGATGACCGCTGCCCCCTAGGATAAAATCTGTCAATGAGGACCACAATGCCACTAAAAAGTTACCATAGAAGAGGACGACAGTGCGAGTCTTCAGGAACTGCTGATGCTCTTATGCATAATGCACAAAGACCGAGTGCTTTATACACGTTTTGTGTATGTGTTGTTTGAAACGTATGTCCTCCTAGGAGTTTGATAAATCCATTCTTGACACCCCCTGATCCCTAACACTTTTACAGACATCAATCTGGGCAAACACATCAATTCAGCGTGGACTGCCTTAGCTTTGTCGTAATGCTAATGGGCTGCTTATGCTTACCCTGGGTCCCGGGGGTCCACTCTGTCCATCGTTACCACGTGCTCCCTGCAAGATGACACAAACGCAGCACAACACTCATTAAACATGCAGCAGGAGTCGGAGGGAAGTGTACGTGTACCTTGACGAGCGTTTCATAGAGTAGGGAACAAACAACACGAGGACTCGTTAAGGTTAGTACCAAGCCAGTTAGGTCTATCAATACCTGTGATAATTTAAAATACAGATAAATCCCATTTGGCAAATAAATGCTCATTTTCTATGGGAAACTTTTTACACCATAGAAACCTGGTTAAAGCAAAAAAAAAAACGAACAAGAGACCATTGTAAAAACACAAGGGGATGTATACGAATATGTATATGTATACACCCATGTGTATGATGTTGGTTGAAGGTCTACTCACAGCAGGGCCATTGGGTCCTGTACGGCCCCTCTCACCAGGCGAACCCCGTGGGCCCTGAAATGCAGAAGATACAAATGAGCACCACATAGCAGCACAGCGCAGTCGAGGTGATACCACAGCAAAAGCATAAAGCACCCTTCATGCAGGTGACTGCCACGGCAAAATATAATGCAGGTGAACACAAATGTTGGTCCCCGATACGTGCACTCCACTTCCTGTATCTCAGTATAATTTCATGCGTTGCATCTCTCAATGCGTGTTTTCGTTTTTTTGGTTTCAACTATTGTTCAACTCTTCTGTTTAAAACATTGTTACATTTTGTTTGTGAATGTACACGCTTTTCATCGGCCGGTAATGTGCACAGGTTGGCAAACTTTGTCTGAAAGCATATCGGTATTATTAATTTCATTATCGTAATAGGCTTGATTATAAACATCAGCATACCAAAACATTCCACAAATACATTCTTTCATTTAAATTGAGATATACACAAAACAAAAAAGTAGCTATCTGAGTACTCTAAGTAGGATGAACTATTCTGAGTATGTGTGAATTCATTTGTTGCCCATCTTAGGTCCAGAACAAAACATCTTTTTTACCTTTAAATTTTTTTGACAAGTAACGTTATCTCAACGATGCTATCCGACTCATGTCAATAAGCAAATGCAATTATCTTTAGAACCCTCATAGTCTAAGAGGGCATCACATCATGTCAGAAAACAGCCTCGAAAGATAAGAATCGGAACATTTATTTAGACTGGAGGAATCCGATGAGCTATGAAGCTTTTTTTCACCAGCCGATTTAATGTTGTTAAAGGGACAGTGTTTTGTAATCACTTTAATTCGATTCAAATAAACCGGCGCAAGAATGCTTGCTTTCTTTTTATCATGAATGAGTGATTCGCTGCAAGTCTGCCATCTGATGTACTTATAGCTCCTTAGCAGAGGTGTGGACTCGAGTCATGTGACTTGGACACGAGTCAGACTCGAGTCATGAATTTGATGACTTCAGACTCGACTTGGACTTGCATAACAATGACTTTGTCCCACCTCTGAGGTGTGGACTCGAGTCATGTGACTTGGACTCGAGTCAGACTCGAGTCATGAATTTGATGACTTCAGACTCGACTTGGACTTGCATAACAATGACTTTGTCCCACCTCTGAGGTGTGGACTCGAGTCATGTGACTTGGACTCGAGTCAGACTCGAGTCATGAATTTGATGACTTCAGACTCGACTTGGACTTGCATAACAATGACTTTGTCCCACCTCTGAGGTGTGGACTCGAGTCATGTGACTTGGACTCGAGTCAGACTCGAGTCATGAATTTGATGACTTCAGACTCGACTTGGACTTGCATAACAATGACTTTGTCCCACCTCTGAGGTGTGGACTCGAGTCATGTGACTTGGACTCGAGTCAGACTCGAGTCATGAATTTGATGACTTCAGACTCGACTTGGACTTGCATAACAATGACTTTGTCCCACCTCTGAGGTGTGGACTCGAGTCATGTGACTTGGACTCGAGTCAGACTCGAGTCATGAATTTGATGACTTCAGACTCGACTTGGACTTGCATAACAATGACTTTGTCCCACCTCTGAGGTGTGGACTCGAGTCATGTGACTTGGACTCGAGTCAGACTCGAGTCATGAATTTGATGACTTCAGACTCGACTTGGACTTGCATAACAATGACTTTGTCCCACCTCTGAGGTGTGGACTCGAGTCATGTGACTTGGACTCGAGTCAGACTCGAGTCATGAATTTGATGACTTCAGACTCGACTTGGACTTGCATAACAATGACTTTGTCCCACCTCTGAGGTGTGGACTCGAGTCATGTGACTTGGACTCGAGTCAGACTCGAGTCATGAATTTGATGCCTTCAGACTCGACTTGGACTTGCATAACAATGACTTTGTCCCACCTCTGAGGTGTGGACTCGAGTCATGTGACTTGGACTCGAGTCAGACTCGAGTCATGAATTTGATGACTTCAGACTCGACTTGGACTTGCATAACAATGACTTTGTCCCACCTCTGAGGTGTGGACTCGAGTCATGTGACTTGGACTCGAGTCAGACTCGAGTCATGAATTTGATGACTTCAGACTCGACTTGGACTTGCATAACAATGACTTTGTCCCACCTCTGAGGTGTGGACTCGAGTCATGTGACTTGGACTCGAGTCAGACTCGAGTCATGAATTTGATGACTTCAGACTCGACTTGGACTTGCATAACAATGACTTTGTCCCACCTCTGAGGTGTGGACTCGAGTCATGTGACTTGGACTCGAGTCAGACTCGAGTCATGAATTTGATGACTTCAGACTCGACTTGGACTTGCATACCCAATGACTTTGTCCCACCTCTGAGGTGTGGACTCGAGTCATGTGACTTGGACTCGAGTCAGACTCGAGTCATGAATTTGATGACTTCAGACTCGACTTGGACTTGCATAACAATGACTTTGTCCCACCTCTGAGGTGTGGACTCGAGTCATGTGACTTGGACTCGAGTCAGACTCGAGTCATGAATTTGATGACTTCAGACTCGACTTGGACTTGCATAACAATGACTTTGTCCCACCTCTGAGGTGTGGACTCGAGTCATGTGACTTGGACTCGAGTCAGACTCGAGTCATGAATTTGATGACTTCAGACTCGACTTGGACTTGCATAACAATGACTTTGTCCCACCTCTGAGGTGTGGACTCGAGTCATGTGACTTGGACTCGAGTCAGACTCGAGTCATGAATTTGATGACTTCAGACTCGACTTGGACTTGCATAACAATGACTTTGTCCCACCTCTGAGGTGTGGACTCGAGTCATGTGACTTGGACTCGAGTCAGACTCGAGTCATGAATTTGATGACTTCAGACTCGACTTGGACTTGCATAACAATGACTTTGTCCCACCTCTGAGGTGTGGACTCGAGTCATGTGACTTGGACTCGAGTCAGACTCGAGTCATGAATTTGATGACTTCAGACTCGACTTGGACTTGCATAACAATGACTTTGTCCCACCTCTGCTCCTTAGTCTTCACAGCTAGTATTTGACATTCAGACAAACCACGTACCGCTGCTCCAGGCACACCATTAGCGCCAGGGCTACCGGACTCTCCCTGTAAAAGAGATCATGAAGGTATGTTATTAAATTAACATCAACAATATTTTTAAATGCACCATAGAATAGGTAGTGATAATAATAATAATGAAGAGCCCTTCGTCAATCCGCTGCAATCCATGATCAGATTTCACCCTCCACAGAAGTTAACCGTCGCCAGGAATTGAACTCACCAGGTTCATAACAGGCACTGACCATTGCACCCCCACTCAATCCCCACGTTAGAACACCATTCTTAATATTCCCAACATTACAAAACTGAACAATTTCTATGTGTTATACCCAAACCCACATAGAACTACATCAGAAATGATGTTGCAGATGCATATTTTGGGCACTGCAAAGGGTTAGGATATATTCATTTCATTCCCATGTTAGGTCTTCTTTATGCTGAAACATATTAAGTAGTAGATTTGTGAATCTACTACTGGACAGAGGCCTCTTCACATTGTGTTGGTTATGGGAGTTGTTTGCACTTCACCGTGCCCAGTAAATCTAACCACAGCTGCAGGTGCTATTGTAGTGTGTGTGTGTGTGCGCGAGTTAATATAACACAGTTTAGTTTTACGGAGTAACCAACACCACGCTATATCCGGATTTTCGTGAGCAATGGTCCTCACCCTTGCTCCAGCAGCACCAGTCTCTCCCTTCCCTCCATCTTTTCCGTTGAAGCCCTGAAATGGAAGGCAACGTCAGTTCGCAGAACCCAGCAGTAACATAAAAAAATACTGCCGTCAAAAGCGTTAATTATGGGTATATATATTTTTTTTTATAAAAAAAAAATCTGATTTTGTTACGTTCGAAAGTTAAGGATACAAATGCATGCGTTGCACTGCTTTGTTTTAAGGTTAGTGTATGTATGATATTGGACTTCTTTCGCACCATACAAAGCCAACCTGTGCTAATGGGAAGTGCAAGGAAGGACAACAAACTAAACACAACGAGCGGTTCTAAAGAGTTTGGGAATGACTGCAGCATCGCACAGCAGTGTGGTGATGCCAGTAAATTCACTTACCCTGCTTCCCTTGATGCCGGGAAGACCAGGGGTTCCTGGGAACCCACGACCTCCCTGCCAAAGACAAACATCAGCCATGTCACCCGCGCACTCTCATACCACTTCAACTTAACCAGTGACCTCAAGCGAACAGTCACAGTGAATGCAGACGCTATGTACCATCTATGGTTACATTATCTACTCCAAAGGTGGGTCGGTTGCATAGCCGTGGCAATATCGTATACGCTGTAATGATGTGGGTAATTAATATTAGTGATAGAGTTTGTGAATATGTGTAATAGAAGCCCTGATGATGCAGGCAGTGACGAGAAGGAAACTGGAGCTATTTGGACGCATGTAGGATGGACAACAGCAGCAAAATTAAAATTGCGTTGTTTGGCAAAAATGGAAAGAACTGGAAAGGGAGGAAGACCTAACAGAGGATGGCTTGATGACGACATAAGGAGATTGGTGCCAAAAAGATGTGGTACTACTTGAGCATATTGGCACGAGGCAGAGGAAAGTGGAAACATCACACAATGGGCAGTGGACACCTAAGAGCTGTCTGCCCATGGATCGTAATGATGTGAGGATAATACAGTTCACAGTTTTCTTGTAAGTGCCCCTGAAATCCCATACCTGTCAACCCATACAATTCACCCCGTATTCTTGTACAGGGAAATTTAGTTTTCAGGTCTATACGGCATACAGCCGTTTCAATACGGGCAATTATTTGGTCTATTTGTTAGTGTTTCTCCCTTGTGATGGAACTTTGTAGGATGAACGTTGATATGTATAAGGGCACGGGTGAACCAATAAGGTCTGAGTTGGTCTGAAAAAAGGTAGGCACTGATAAGGGGTTGACAGTTATGTAATCCATACATGGTGTACCACTTGTTAACGACTTTGCAATGAAACCAGTGTGCTGTCAGCACATTGTATGTTGGTGTGTGATATTTAACAAGGGCAATAATTACATGGCGGTTTCACCATAGTGATGGAATAAAGGGTGACGATCAACTTACAGATCTCAGCGATTCCACCATTTTGACTTTGTGTCGCATATTATATTACAACAGGTGGATTAGATAAATGTTTTTACAAAGACTGCTAATTCAACAATGTGAAGTGTTTATTATTGACCTGGAACCTTCAGTACATGTGGCCTTGGTCATAGTTCCATCACGTACCTGAGCACCAGGCAATCCTCGCTCTCCATTCCTGCCTGAACGGCCAGCCTCACCCTGCAAAGCATCAGCATTACATCAGTGAGGGTGACACCAACGTAACTGTATATATGTGCTATACAATGGCTAATAGTAGTCAGTGAAAAACAAGTTAAATAAAAAAAATCTCCCCGATGTGTCTTAAGATTGTACCAGTGCGTCGTTCTGCAACATGCCCTGACGTTCTGGCTCCTTGTGCCGGGAGCTTACCGGAGAAGCTCCAAGCTCACAGATAAGCTCCAGGCACGTGGAGCGAAACGTTGGACATCGTGCCGAACAACATGTGGTGCAACCCAACAAGACATCAGAGAGCGATAGAGGGAAATCACAAAACCTACGCGGTGGTATAACTTAAATGTAAGTGATTTAGTTATTTATTTATTGAGGACATGTGGCCTATTTTCCATGGCTCATTTCACTTACATCATCTCCATTCTTGCCAACAGCGCCTGGGGGACCTGAAGGTCCGACTGGGCCCTGAAATGGGACACAAAGTTGAAGATTAAATGGTTACATTTTGAAGGCAGGTGTTTTGATTATTATTCCATTGAACAGTACATAATGCGAAGTCAACTACCCACGGCAATGAACTGATGAACAAGCCATTGCGCTGTACATAATCTATTCCTTGCTGAATCGAAAATGAGAATGATCATTCGTATTAAAATGTAAATAGTAATGCTATAAATGTATAGGGCTCTCATTCCACCAATGTTTTTAGCGAAAATACATTTACCATTTGATATAGTATTTGATAGAAAGATAGATTGATCTGGTATTGGACATAATTCCCGAAATAAGTAATTTATTAAGTTTCAATTGAATGATTAATTATCAATTCATATTTTTAGTCCAATGAAAATCATATTCAAAACTTGATCATTAATCCGTACATATATAGTGTATTTTTTTATGAATATGGTATTTAACGATTATGTAGCAATAACATTCTGCTAGACTCAATAACGCAAGAACTAGAGATCTCAGTTGTACTTACAGGTGGTCCCAAACTGCCAGGCTCACCAGGGGCTCCTTGGTATCCAGCTGGGCCCTATGGATGCACACGAGGTAGGTTAGTACACACAGGCCTACACGTACTAATACACATGTGTGCAAAGGCCTGCGGAAGAAAAACAAGCCCTATGATCATCACAGCTGCGCTCTTTAAGTTACATCTACATTACATTGTTCATAGACCTTTCTTAAAACCCAACCCCACAATGTGTGTGTGGGGGGGGGGGGTGATATGTCAACAATATCAGTGCACCATACTATACTGACAGCATTGGCATTCAATGCAAACACTAGCTTCTAAAGATGATCATCAGGCCAACGTGTAATATTGCTCCACCAATAAAACCACTGAGACAACACAAGGCCAAATCCAGTGCACTCAGATGACAATTGACCCAGCCGCATTAACCTTTTTGGTCCATTTCAGGATACACTCGGTAGAAGACATGCATGACTCTAAACTAACAGGCTCATTAACCAGCAACAGAGATCAGTAATTATCTAGAACGATGCACTGGCCAAATGCATGTATTGGGATAGTCACCTTTTTGCCAATGATGATTCATTTAAGATTTTAATAGAGCCGGTGTGTATAACAGTTATGCTCTGGATAAAGGGGTTAATACAGTGGGATCTGTTTTTCAGTTTTTGTCCATGAAACATTGTGGAGAATCGCGCTTGAGGGGAATGTTCTGTCCTGGCTACTTGCATCCACAAAATACCCTCGCCACCCAGCACACGCCCAATAAGGCCTCATCCAGTAAAGTCATTCATAGAATGGCAAATGCTAAGGCGATGATACAATGTGGAAAGCACTGATGCATTGGGGCAATGGGTCAGAGATGCAGTGGGTCAGAGCTACACGTGAAGATGAAGAAAAGACAATAGTTGATTAAACACATATTCAGACTGTTAATAACACCGCAGTACTTGCCTCCCCAATGCATATAGATAACCTAAAAAGACAATAGTTCTAATACTGTACCAAACTTGTGCAATTTACATGTGAAAATAAATCACCTATACTTCTTCCTTATAAGCAATGTAGTATGGTTTCATTAAGCTGTAAAATTCGATGTTTGACTGTTAAGCATATGGTGTGTTTAAAATAACTGGTTATAATAGTCATACAGATGAAACGTGAACTTTGAAGTGTAAGTTAAAATGGAATATTTAAAGTACATCAAACACACAGCTCTTGATACATTATATACACTATACCCACATGTTATATGTTAAATAACCTAACACAATAGAGCAATCATATTCTATTCAGACATCAAATCCTATAAATTCAAAGCAAGCCCATGTTATATGTATTTGTTTCACCAGGTGAGAACTCAAGAGACTAGGACAGGCTCATTTGCAAGAGTGGCCTGGGTCAATAAACCTTTACTTGAATAACTTTTCCTATAAATACATTTACGTCAAGCAAACGAAATTAACACAACGCTTTTTTTCTTCATATTAAAAAAATATATATATAATTTTCACATCGTTATATTAACAAACTTGCGTGGTTATTTCAGACGCGATTTTTCCTGAAGCAGTACCACCCTGAAACAATTCCATAGCGATCATTCGGAAGACATAAAGAACGCTGAATTGGGGTGAACGCCTTCACGAGGCGAGGGTGTAGCACGTGCAGGCGACAGCATCGGGCTAGTGGGGGACCATTCTCACCGGGGCTCCGACGGAACCGGGAGCACCTCGGGGTCCCATGGGTCCCTAAGGGAAAGAAAAAAAAACACATGTTGCATGTTAGCCACGGCCACATGAACGTCTCAGCAAAGAGCTATGGTAACAATAAAAAATAATATTTTTTGTGTGAACACTTTACTGCACACGTTCAATATCTATATCGAAAACTAATTTCTTTAGAAGTACTTTATGTGTTCCGTTCATTGCCCCCCCCCACCCCGCCGCACCTCCGATTATCACGATCTACATAGGGTGCGAAATACGTTCAACATATACGCTTGAGGAAAAAGGACAACAGCCCAATAGTTATCACGAGATCGAATAACACAATCATGACCGTGGAATTATAAAGGTGTGTTGCCAGTTTTATCACTACCGTGAATGTCCATTTTAGGCTAAAGTGCACAGCACTGCAATTTGTACTAATTTATGACCGAACTGACATTCACAAGTGCCTCGCTATGTGGTTTCATTGTGTGTTAGAGAGGGGTTGAATAAAAATCGTCATGTCCGCGTACTATTTTAGACCAAACGCTATGGAATTTTACATAAAATAACTGAAAAGGGTGCTAAAAATAAATACGTATATGTTTACATGAATAAATAAATATAACACCAATGTAAAACAAAATGTGTTCTCTTAATTTAATGTTCTGAGATATAAAATTAAATATTTGCTGACCAGTGAATACAATTTGTAAATTGTGTATATTTTGAACATCAACTACTAATAAAACAATATATGGATTTATTTAAATCCCTCTGTACATACGTTGAGATTCTCAATATAATTTCGGTGTACAGGGGATATTTTCTTGGGGAAGATTAATAAAAATAAAGACATTTCATGACATCCATACATTAATCTGAACACCAACTATAAATAAGGTAGTGTGCAACTCAATATTGTGAGCTGCTATATTATTCAACAAATGGTAGTGTTGTAGGCTGATGTGTCGTCTGGTTATGGAGAGTGTGGAGTCTGATTAGGCCTGGTGTGTGGAGTCTGGTTATGTATAGTGTGTGGAGTCTGGTTAGGTATAGTGTGTGTAGTCTGGTTAGGGCTGGTGTGTGGAGTCTGGTTATGTATAGTGTGTGGAGTCTGGTTAGGTCTAGAGTGTGGAGTCTGGTTAGGGCTGGTGTGTGGAGTCTGGTTAGGGCTCGTGTTTGGTTAGTGACTAAGGTGGACACGGATACATACCGGGGGTCCGGGTGGTGGAGGTCCAGGTTGATCCTTGTACTGAGCAGCAAAGTTCTGTAAATGGGAGACGATTGCAGAAGAACACACTTAGATTGAGCCACATTTGGACGACTTGATGCTTAACATAATGCACATACAGAAATCACGATACCAGGTATGTATGAAATATAATTATCAATTGATTGTGAATATAAACCCGTGAGTTTAGTATTCCAAATTTTTATGTAAATAATGTTAAATGTTCACCAAAAGTGGTGAGTGATGATAACACGTCGTGAGAGGTAATTGACGAATTTCAAATCGATTCTTGACCAAAATGTGAAAACGATCACATTGTTTGCATAACTTTTCAACATTTTGGATCTGTTCATCCTCCTAAATGCATGCATCCATTGCATTAATTCATCACTAGATGTCCCTCCACTGACAATATGCCATTAGGCTCTTCCAGAAGGTGCCGTTCACGTGGACAGAACTAAGTACAGAACAATGGATTATCACTGTAGAGTTGTGATCAGCTTGCCATGTGGACTAGTGACCTCCGTGTTGGGAAAATGTGAATGCCAAGGCGTTACTTCTTTTCCATCAGCATATTTTACATATTTTCTATTTATGCATAAACGTTTTGAAAATAACACGATGTTATTGAATAAGTATGACAATAATTCACAGCATATATGTAACTCTGGCTGATAATTCATTGATTTTACATTTATTCCTCTCATATGATAACATATATTTACATTCACAATTTGTATAATGTGTAAATCTTTATTGAAGATGCTTAAATATCTGGGCTCTTCTACGAATGCTTACTTTAAACCATTTTCTGAGAGCTCAGAAAGGAATGGATTAGTTATGTTTATATCACACTGGCCACGTGGTGTCTATACAATGAATAAGTAAGTATGCTCACATTCATTTTTGTGACCAATACTCCACTGCCTTTTAAAATACTGTTTACCAATTATAGTCATCTATTAGCATATTAGTGCATAACTTGTTCAGTCTCTAGAGATTATTTTGCATTTTCATGCAATAAGTAAAGACAGAAATATGTGTGTGCGGGTTGTAAGTGTTTGAGTTTTTGTGTGAGTGAGTTACGCATGTATGTAAACGAGTGCGCGTTGTGCTGTGGGGTAGTGTAGCGGTTAGCACACTGCACTATGAACCCGGCAACCCGAGTTCGATTCCCTCTCACGGCCAACAACAATGACAATAATCTGAACCAGTCCTGGGCCTTGCCTAGGTCGACTCAGCCTCAAATGAGTGCCTGGTGTGGTGTGTAAACATCGCCACTGGGGAGACAAAGGCGGCCTGCGTAATGTTGGCCACCCACCTCCTTTGTGTGCCATGTGGGCCTTCATAGGTGCTCGCTAATCTGAACCAGTCCTGGGCCTCCCCTAGGTCGACTCAGCCTCAAATGAGTACCTGGTGTGGTGTGTAAACATCGCCACTGGGGAGACAAAGGCGGCCTGCATAATGTTGGCCACCCACCCCCTCTGTGTGCCATGTGGGCCTTCATATGTGCTCGCTAAAGACACTTACCACAACAGCCTGTGTAGGCTATACGGGGGATCTTTGTCTTTGTTGTGCATGCACTTGCATGTGTGTGAGAGCAAGTTTCACGTGCTTGCTCTGTATGTCTCACCCCGCCCATGCCCAAGTAGGAAGTATCATCAGACATTTGGCCAGCTGGTCCAGCCGCACCGGGGTTCCCGGGAATTCCGGGTTCTCCATCTCTTCCTTGGGGACCATCCATGCCCTGTAGGAGAGCACAGTTTTATTACATTTGTGCTCCTTGCAGGTGTATTTGTTTTGTGCACTTGCTACATTAAGATCATGTTGCAATTTGAAAAGCCCTGGATGTTCAACATAAATGCATATCAATCAAGGCACGTGTTAGATAAGTCTGTAAGTGAAGTCCGTTTCATGAGCATAAATTAATCCAAATGGTACATCGCAAATTGGTTGTCTTTTGCAAAGATTCATCCCTGCCATGGATTTGCAGAATTTCAACCGCTGGCTCAGGATGGTAAATAAGAAGAAAAAAACACCGCTCCATGTTTATTTGAGTTGGAAACACCATTAACTTATTTTTGGCACATATTATGATGACAATATAATGAGCAGCTTATGCACACAAAAAGCACCAAATATATATATTTTAAATGTATTAAGTGTGTGAAGAGGTAGACAATATTCGCATAATTAGAAGCAATTAATATCATTCAACAAATATAAAATTCTAAATTAAATAAAACACTGTGGTTTAAACACATTTATAGCTCACCGATCTAATGTATTTGGTCAGAATTCGAATCATAACACATTTGATGAAGGCGGTTCACCTGCGTTGGCATGAACACTATATATTTTTGTTATTCATATACTGTATTTAAGAATAGAAGATACCACATAGGCTTGAATGAGCCTGCAAGGCAAATGACACTCCTAGCACCATGGACAGCAGCCTCTCACCTTAATTCCCTTCCGTCCCCGGGGACCTCTGGGACCACCATCGCCGCTGGGACCCTATGAACAACGGTAACAGAGTCAACTGTAACATCTGATTCTTATGGCGGTATCCCGGGGTACCAAATAATACTAAATGGCCGAGGCAATTAAATATTTTATTTCGAGGCAATTAAATATTTTATTTCTGGGACACTTTTTTTTCCAGGGGTGTACTTAACTCCGCGACTGGGGTACCAATCAATCCGAAATCAGTGCCACTCTGCGATGCCGAAACGCAGCGACGACGATTTCGCTGAAACCCTGAACGCTCGTAATGCACCACAGCGCATCGAGTACAGCTCGTCGAGATGAGTCGATTGCCACCTTGGCCGACCATCAGCAGACTAAAAATGACTGCATCACGGACATTAGGCGAGAGCCGGGGTACTATGGTACCCCGAGGAACCGCCATACGGTTCAATTCTAGTATTTAACACGTCGCGATTATGTTTAATAATGGTAATGTCCTTTGTTTGTGTATATCTATATATATAAAAGGGAAATTTGTTCGAAATGTTTAGCATACTTCCCAACATGCAACAAATTTGAAATTTGGTATGTGGGTAGCTTCCAGACTGTACCCAATGCAAAAAGTATAAAAATAGGGGGCGCAATAATGGATATATTTTGCACGGCAAGTGAGCGGTGACGTCACATCGGTGATGTCACCCGCATGCGGCAGCGTCACGCAGTGTACCCTGCTGACGTCACGCACCCCCCCCAACCCTCTGCGTAGGCAGTGTATTAATCCAAGACAATAATCTAAGTCTCGGGCGAAGCCGAGTAACTAATATATATCTAAAGGACAAACTTCAAAAGTATCCACTCTTTATCGAGATGGTTCTGCTTGGAACGTGTAAACCATTCGACATAGCGTTTAGTGTTTTGTGTAAGGAGCGTTTTGCCCATTCCTTATCCATACACAGACTAGCAACCTACTTGGTTGACTCCCATCAACTGGCAACCTTGCAGGCAGCTAAACAGGTTTTGGTATTTAACATGGAACGAAAGCTGTGCGATCCCGCAATCCTGACTTTCAAAATACTACACGACATTCCTTGTGCCAGCATGCACAGAATGTTTTAAAGTATTGAATACTGTGACATGCGTGCAGACGAATCACGCTGCTGCCTTAGTAAAAAAAGCGTGTGGAATAACTAAAGGTATGTCTGATCAAATTAATAATTGTTTTCACTGGCCTTGCACACGAAGGACAATTTGGGAATATCTTTGCGAGCATAGTGTCAACTCTGGAAGCGTAATTGTAATATTCTACACAAAAATCGTGTTAGTTATCGTTTATATTGTATTAGTTTTTTAAAATATTAGTTATCTATTGTTTGTTTTAGAATAATATAATATTGCATATTTTGTAGATACTATATAACCATACCGCAATGCTATAAATGAATTGCATTTTTCAGACCGTGTTAGTGATGTTTAAAGTGTGCAGAAATAACTGATAAATCCTTACCACTCCTCCCTGAGGTCCAGGGCGAATCGTGAACTAAAGGACAAATAAAAAACAAGCCCCATTAGTGGTCCACGTTTCAACACTCCACATATAAAAATGTGGCAACAAGGTTACTCATTGGATGCTTACACACTGACGTATGTATGTTGAAGTTATTTCGCATACTATATAGTCGACCGTGCTAATTTAATGTATATTTATAAAGAAGAATTAATTAAAAAATACTTCATAGGGGATTTGTATTTTAGACCAAAGTGGCTTTGATGCCATCCACAAACAATGTAATTGACATATAAATGTTTGATTAACTAGTTTAGCCATGTAATATACATTACATGCCAGAGGTTGAGAATTACAATATTCGTTAGAGCATGTGATACATAAATTTAAGACATTTTTAGAAGTAAAATTTCTGTTTACGTAGATATATATGTAAATGTTAAAATGAAAATGAGTTTGGGTAATTTACTATTGTAAAAAAAATTGCAGTATGTAGAAATCACGAAGTTGTGATTTCAATTTTGAGAGTTGGTGGGGAAGGTTTAGCGTTGCAAACCAAAAGTTGTCATTATCAAGCATGAAAATAAGAATGACATTTACTGGCCTGATGGAAGAATGTTTATTTTAAAAATGTGAACAGCCTTCAAATTTTCTGAAAGTGACTTCCTGTTCACTTGTACATTAATTTGTTTGTTATTTACAAAATAACCCTGCCATTGGATTGCACTGACTGGGCCATTGTTAGGTCCTTTGACTACCAATTGTATTCTGAGTATAATATTCAAAGATAAAAAAAATAATCCAGAAAGTGCGTGTAATTATACTCACTCTGGGTGGGTCTCCAGGCTGACCCTTCTCTCCCTGAGAAAATAGTAAATCAATGTGATGATCAGAATTCAACTTCATGACTATAAACCAGGTTCGGCTCAAGCCAAAATCAATTTTCCACATCTAGATCAGGGCTAGTTCTCAATCCGGTTTATAGTAAATTGCGGCCCTTTGTATCCTCATACTATATCTCTCTGATTATGAGATTGGTTAGATTTGTATTTGTTTGTTCTGAAATAATGATAAAGCCAGAGGCATGGTGTATACATGTACATCCACGAAATTCATAACCGAAGTTACTGCAATCATTTCATAAATAAAATTAGACGTTGAAAAAACCTATTATCAATGCGTATAAATAAATGGCACTAACTTAAAGTTACATATCATGCTAATAAAACTGGTATTGTTACATGTGTTTTATATTTAGTAGTTAAACTATTGCGCTGAAGATACTTGCAATGATTATTCAAGTTATTAATATGCGATGACTATTTACAATAACGAGCATAACCAGTGCAAGGACCAAAACGTTATAATTAATTAAGAAAGATCGCCACAACTGTCTGCAACATTTTGATAAATATTTTTTACATGAAATATGAATGTGTCTCATGAATACAAAAAAAAAAATCACGGTTAAAGCCATGAGCGCATACAACATTTTAAAATTATAATGCAATCAATTCTATACATGAATGATACATCATTGCATCTGGTGCCATTGACAAGGTAAGACCTCAATACTGTACTCTTTGCTTGACAAGCAGTTATTACAATATATTTTTTAATGTAATCAGCAAAATATTAAATGCATGACTTGAATATTTTCTCTATATGACCACTGTATAGCAAATTCCACGTTTCCAATATTAGAACATTTGGCTTTCGATAGCGAGGCTATTTCAATTACTCATTATTGTATAGCTATTTGTTTTGATACAAACTTTAACATGACTTACTTGCGGTCCTCGGGCTGTGGAAAAAAGAAAAAAAGAGATTGTTATTGGCATATTGAGAATTAAAACCGTGTCGTTATTAACGCCGTTAATGAAATACATGTAAATATATTCAATCCAAGTGGACAAACTCAAAGGATATATAACTATTATTTTTCATCATCAACTGTATTCAAATGATGCCTCAGAGAAGAGCCCGAAACATGTCACTGCTTATGCCTTGTTCAAGACAATCATACTTTTAATCACTGTGTCACTATATAACCCGCATCTCGTTTCAATTAGCCTGGCTAAAATATAGTTTTTTGATGCTTAATGAAATATTTGTCAAGCTTCTTCGAAAATATGTTTTGTGTTAGAATTATCTATAATTTAAATACCAATGTCTGCCCATCCGCAATCATTGACCAATCAGAACGCTCTCGAGGATTGTTCTGTCGTGATCACTGAAGATCTGTCATCGCCGATGTTACGCTTCCCCTTGATTGGTCGGATTGGAATTTCCCACCAAACACTGGACCAATCGGTGCGCTAAACTCCGGCATGCGAGGAAGCGAACGGGAGAGCCGCTTACATGAAGTGGTACATGTCATTTTTTTCTTCTACGTGTCATGTTTTGTTTTGGCAGCTGCTCATGTGAAGTTGTCAATGTAAAGGGTCGATTTACTGCTCCCTGGTGTAAGTTCATCACCAATGAATGCGTGGTTCATGGTGACTGGCAAGTAGACACCCCTCTGTGGTGAGTGTTAGTGAATGGTAAGTGATGAGTGTCAAGTGAATAGTGAGTGTCTGGTGAGTGAGTGGTGAGTTGTATCGGAATGATGTGAGCAATGCTCGCATTATACTCTCAGCTGAGCTGCATAGTTGATTATGATACCATAACTCAAGTGGGAGGCAAAACACTCGTGAAGCTTTCCAATATGGAAAACATAGATTGTTCATATCCTATGTGAATTCGTAGGTAAATGGGATCTCACTGTAAACTATTTATCAACCCTTAAATTGATCAGCTATGTTACATCTACAGTTATCAGATACTGTCACAATGTATCGTAACAATACGCAATCTTTTGCCGTCTCTCAAGCCGTTTCTTTTACAGAATGGAGGAAAGTAATGGCTAACTAGACTTCTCTAAGTAAATATTACACACTTACGTGAGAGTCACTTCGAATCTGTGACCCAGTCATGGATTTGCTCATAATAGATCCTTTAATAACCTTAATTTGAAATAGTATTCCTCTATAAGCTACGGTATTTCTATTACAGTGTTTGCAGGTTTTTGTTCTCAAAGCGGATGTCAAATTTCAGAAATGGTAATTGGACTAGATTGGAAATTAATAGTCATGGCTTGATAAACATTGCATAAGAAATTAATACATTCACACCTCAAATATGAAGCAAGATCTTGTCGTCATTGGCATTTATTCATTATCTAGCTAACTCCATAGAAGAATGCATAATACATTGAGATGTGTACTACATTCTGATGATAACGGCAATATGAAGTTTAGCATTAAGAGATCATGAGCACATTGCCTCTGGAGTAAATTTCAAATCTAACAAATCGGAGTCGCAATTCAAAGTTCCAGCGACGTTATTTGTCATGATTTTAGGATTGAAAGTTTACACGAAACATTACACACCTTTGAAATATTAAATGTGAAGGTTTTGTTTTGTTATGAATTAAACCTGTAATATAGAGGATGAACCACTTCGTTTCAGTTTAATTGAGATTTTTTGTTAACTACTCTGGGCTGACAAATAATAAGTGACAACACCAAATGCAATCGTTATCCCTTATAAGACGCCATCATTATGGAATTTCCAAGAAAAGTTTCACTGAACTTTGAGACGGAAGGTCCACCATGGAACGTTTAGGTATCTAAATTGAGTAATTTTGCATAAGACATGAAACCAAAGTACCGAGAAAAGACCAACACATTTTAGAGGAAAACACTCAATCTCTGCAAAGACAGATCTGAAATGCTATTGCTCGACTGGCTCTATCAAGCACCACTTTGTAACGCACTTGAGAGCCCTAACACACAGTATGCATGTATGTTGAACTTGCTCCGCACCTTAAGTAGCCAACCATACTAATTGGAGGTGCCGGGGATGGACAACAAACTAAATACAAAAATAGAAAAATAATAATAAAAAGAAAGTGAATATAAAAACAATACACTAATGTAGACTGTAGCCTGGTTCTTAATCTGAGTGAGTGTACTGGCAATCTCTAATGTGAACTGTAGCCTGGCTATTAAGTTTGGTGAGTGTACTGGCAGTCTATAATGTAGACTGTAGCCTGGTTAATAAGCTGGTGAGCATGTTGGCAATCTATAATGTAGATTGTAGCAATGGTTATTAAACTGAGTGAGCGTACTGGTAGTCTATAATGCAGACTGTAGCCTGGTTCTTAACCTGAGTGAGCGCACTGGCAGTCTATAATGTAGACTTATTCTGGTTCTTTCAGTATTATTATTTTTATTTTATTTTTATTACTGAAAGAACCAGAATAAGTCTACATTATAGACTGCCAGTACACTCACCCAGCTTAATAACCATTGCTATAGTCTACATTCTTGACTGCCATTACACTCACCAAACTTAATAATCAGGCTACAGTCCACATTAGAGATTTCCAGTACACTCACGCCGATTAAAAACCAGGCTACAGTCTACATTATAGACTGCCAGTACACTTACCCAGCTTAATAACCAGGCTCCAGTCTACATTAGAGATTTCCAGTACACTCACTCCGATTAAGATCCAGGCTACAGTCTATATTAGTGTTAAAAAAAATCTATTTTTTATTCACTTTATTTGTATTATAATAATTTTTCTATCTACGTGACTTTACCGAAATAACCAAAGAATATGAATTCCTGCAGTTACGAAAGTTTTAAGTCAAAAAGCAGATCTAGATTTAAAAGTGCATAGCTCCAGTGGCTTCCTAATATCGGAAAGAACAGCATTCCAGACGGCCACAGAAGCACATCTGGAAGCGCGTGTTGTAGTGCCCATCTCTGTTATGACCCGAGTTCGTGTGATGGTTAATGCTCCTTGACGAGGTCAGCAAAGTATTGTGGTTCGTTCGTGGCCAGCGCTTTGTATGTAACGAGTGCGATTTAGATGACGTAGCACTGCGCCGCACACGTGACTCACCTTGTGTGCATACGGGGCAGCACTCGCCCTGGGGTACAATTGAGTTGGGGCAGTCAAGTTGCTCGCATGAGATCTGGTCGCACATTATGGTTCCCTGGTCACACAGGCAAATGCGGCAAGGCTCTGGCTTCCATATCGCCCGGTCTGTGTACTCTTGGCCGTCATATTCGCAGCTTCCTTCCGCTGTGATGGGACAGAGAGAGAAAAAAACAAAAGTGAAATGACACCACCATGAGAGAGACATGCATGACACTTGCGTGTGTGTGTGTTAACTTTATTGTCTCTGTACACAAGTGAACATGTTAGTATTTGTTTAGCATGAATGTGGCATTTAAATAATAATAAAATATATACTGCCAATAATTTTGTTCTGCCAGGAGTTGATCCAAATTTTGAAATTGTATGACAATTCACAAAATAATAACATGTTCGATTGATCCATCCTAGTTAAGGAGGCTTCTGATATGTAATACAATATCTAGCAAACGCACACTTGGTATCAATTACATTTTGAAAAACATTGAACATGTTTGTCAATGAGGTGAAACATTTCTTTGTTTATTCATAAAATATTCAAATGTATATATGCAATCTATATAAATTATCCTATATAATAACATAGCTAGAGAAACATCCTGCATTCAGAGATTTAGGTTAAATAATCTAAAATTTAAAGTGGTTTCGTAAGGCGTACTGTCCACGAAGAAGTGAACAAAGACAGATATGGGCTACTCATAAAATGGAATTAAATTACAATAAGATTTGCAAGAATATTCACGGATACTTCTTGGTAAACATTGCATCATATTCAAACAAGTATGCGATCTTGCAAAGTAAATGTATAAACATAGTTAACGTGATGGGTATTGCTAATCATAAACTGTATTACCATTCGTTTCTACATGAATTCAATAGTTAATAGCCATTACTAACGAAGAAATAAAAATCCATGAAACCTAGTGACACAACGGAGTGTCAGAGCTTTTGTGCATGTTCTATCACAGACACTTCATGAATAGGGAATTGTCAAACGGAACATTAAAACATTTACTGACAACATTTTGACAGCATGAGTCCTATTATATAATGAAAGCATAAGAAAACTATAATTTATTTAATAACTGTGGAAAGTATTGTTTCAAGTGTTGCCTACAATACAACCAACTGTTGACCTACGAGCAATCCCCAGTCATGATATCTTTCCAAAATGATTGTTATATCCCGTAATATTGTCATACTTCAAAACAAAAAATGAAATCTTGATTTGAAGCTTTCGTGACTGCAGGAATCCATACTCTTTGGTTCTTTCGGTAAAGTCACGTTTTACTACAGAAAGAGTTAGCTGGACAAAGTCACGGACTTCACAAAAGCTTTACTAGGCATGCAATAGCAGGAATACCATGTATAACATGCCACTTTTTTCAGTCGTATAATAAACGAATTGGTATTTTTAAAAAATCTCAACATAAAGAATCTAAACATTTTAACACGTAGGCTTTCGCGACCAATATCATCCATAATAGAGTTTTTTTTGGGTTAGATCACGTAAATATATAAACGTCGTACTCAGATTGTAAATGTTGTGGCTTGGTTCTCCAACACACCGGTGTGATGTACTAGTGTCGAATTGGCATGTTCTGTTTACGTGACAACCCTTACTAGTTGGCTGTGTCGGGTGGTGGCGGGTTTTAACGACACATTTATATATTTACGCAATTTAACTAAAAAAAACCTCTATTATGGAGGATCTAAACATGTTTGTGCATTGACATAGACCTGTCAATGTTATCAAGAGTCCTTTTTTTATTAATGAAACTACTTGGACTACCAAATGTCTGACAAATTTGCTAAAATCGTGTATATTTAATAACCTTTAAACATCACGTTTTTCTATATTTCTATTACTATCCCAATTAAATATAATTGAAGTATTAATTCCCATTGTGACGAAAACAATCAGTAGACATGTTTCAATTGCGAAAATATAAATTTCTACCCTGAGGAGTGTCCAATGCAATGTATTAAATGTTATCAAATGCTGTTTGGAAATGGGAATGCAGCACTAGACTTTAAATGTTAAGTGTAGAATTGTAAACGATAATGGAGCTTATGAACAAACTAATTCCCATTTCACTTTCCTTAGCTGTTTATTTTAGGTCACTCTAAGTAAAGACAAGTAACTGAACTTGGTAGCCCGAGGTTAGAGAGCCTGCTACACAATCATCACAAGTGCAGAGGTGGGGATGCTGTTTAAAAATATATGAGCAAATGTTTTTTTGTGCAAATCGCTAATTCAGATGTGATTTGAAACCTTAGAAACAATCATAAAAAACAAGCAGTGGGCTACACACATACCATGTAAAAACTGTTTTTAGAAAATGAGATATAATTTAATTGGGCTACGAAATCCAGAAAACAGCACAGTGTTTATAGAATATCCTATTATAATAAAGTCACGTATTCCAGTTATAGTACACCAATTAGAATACTGCCTGTGAAGGAAAATGTTGCTGAAAGTACGACTACATCTGTAACTGAAATGTATTTTGAAAATAAATCTTGAAAATTATTAATTTTAAAAGGCCAGTAAAAGATTTAAATAATTAGCAAATGCTGAGAAATTAATAGACATATGGCATTCGAGTTCAGCTGATAATTCAACTCAGTCAGTGCTCATTCCTATCGGCCACTCATGTGGGGCACACGTGCATTGAGCCCTTTCTTTAATTACAGAAGCTGTCAATTCTTCGCTCCGCTGTGCCTGGCAACGCCTCCCATTGCCTCCCATTGAGTGTGGCGGGCTCCGTAGGAGCGCTGCTGCTGCAATCCTGAGTGGAAGTGTCAGCGCAGCACCACGGACAGCGCCACGTATTGCGGACACGCGGCGCGAAGTTACCGCTGAGTTCTCTCACCCGCTAACCTGTAGCGCACGCGATAGGAGTGAAGTTAAAATAGCGTTTTGAAGCGTACTCTCTCTGTCTATAAAATCACGCTTTGTGTTTTTAAAACGCTCTGTCCCGTGCCTCAATAATACGTCTGTAACTTGAAAGCAGGGCGTTTGATCCTCTGCCACGCGTCCAGACCACGAGGCCAAAACCGCAAGCCACGTGGGGGGACGTCCTCCACCGCCTGCCTCCTCGTGTGCGCAGATCTCAGATTATAGAGTCTCTCTAATACGTGACATCCATCACGCGCAACAACCTGCCACATCTGCATCGCTCTACTGGATGGTGAGATCACTACCGTAGGGCCCTTGTAAAAGTAGCCTTGGTCTGAATGATAAACACAAAACCACACGTGCCTTTTGAATAATGGAATTAAAAATGTCCCCTCTTCGTGGATTAGAACGTGGTTATGAGACGAAGTTACATGGCACATGTTACGTATATCTGACTTTGCTTCGCCGGTAATAGATATGGGACCAACAACTTTAAAGTCAATTAAAGTGTCAACTGGCATTACGCTGGTGTAGGTAAAACATACAGTTTAGTACACAGCTAATTTAGACGATGCTACTACTAGCTTTAAACAGTCCAATAATGTACTTTGGATATAAGACGTCAATTGTTTGTTACAAACCAAAACGGTTGCATGAGGAATGAAAATTGGAACTCCGTTTCAAAGCTCTCACGGGTGCGTTGCACAATACCTGCTGCTTTCGTTTCCAAACAAAAACAAGCGTCACAACAACAAACCTCTCTTCGATGTTCACATCAAATATGCCCTGGTGACAATGTCGAGTTTACACTTCACGAGTTAACTTTGAATTCGATCGCGTCGTCTATCAAACATTATCTCGGGCTCAATGGGTGCTGCGACATTTATACAACCCACCGCATACCACTCCGCCTATAACGCACAATCTCTTCTGGGGTGTTGGGTTCAAACAACGTCACACACCTGCGTGGGAATTACGTCCTGGTGTGATACACAACTTCGCTCAATACTAGCAACGCAGTGTTTGCGTTGGTGGCGTGATGAGGCGTGGAGGGCACATCCATTCATTAATGGGGGGGGGGGGGGGGGGCACTTACGATTTTGCCGCTGGCTGCTGACTGTGATGAAGAGCGCTTGTAACGCTGCCAGGAGCAGCAGTATCCGGCCGTGCACAAAGATTGACATGTCTAAATGTTAGACATGCAAGTCCTTGTGCGGATGGGGGACGAAAAAAAAACGCAAGCGCGTTCAAACAACGACCGAGGGAATTGACGAGGCTGCACTATGGTGCAGTCATAAAGGGGATCAGACCTTCATGCACTGCAGCCGGTCCCCGAAAAACAATTATATGCTTTACCCAAGCCCTCTTCTTACTTTTACAATATATATGCGGAGCCCCGCCTCCCGTACAATCCACCCTCCACAGCTGATTGATCAATTCCGGGGCACCACGCCTTCGGCATGAAACCCGATAAGATTCCGCAGCGTCGGACGTTTATAAATGTACTCGCATGGACGAAGAGGCTCTACGATCGTCAGCCTATCAGGAGTGGGTGGGGAAATGAGGGGTAGTTAACAAGACAAACCCTCTGGTTGAGAATGAACACTTTTTTTAACGGTCGTCTAATTTACTCAACGTGCTTTGGTATGCACCATGCCTGGGATCCACGTCGTACGGTTACCACCTCATTCATTCATGAATGTCATCCATTGAAGACGCACCTGAACGGAGCACCAGGAGACGTTGGCTGCGACGTGGGAGAAAACAAGGTGTACATAAGCGTGGCCATAAAACGGCTACTTATTGTGTACACATTGTTCTTTCCGATACTCATAATATACGTAGATGTGTCAATAGTAATTGTATTGATAGAAACACGAGACATATTTTAGCCGACAGGTCACGTGGCGTATTTTTTACATGCAAGGTTGTCCTGGATAAATAACTTAACTATAAAAAATTAAGCTAAGAAGAACAAGAAGAAAAAGCCCTGTTGTAATCTTTTTTTATTCAGAGATCAATGTTACTACTTATGACATCGACAGGGAATTATCTACATGATTAAGCAAATGCAATTCATGAGCAAAGTGCAATTGCTTACATGTTACATTATCAATGTATGCAAACGTATGCCGTGTATTTCTTCTCAAATGAACGTAGGGTAGTACTGATTTTTATTGGAAGCCCTGAGTCAAGAGTAGAAATTCCACAATTATTTGGCAGGGTCAGATTTTAATTAGGATTTACAGTGATGACTTCCCACAAAGTGGTGCTGATTTTATTGACCCCAGATTCACGATGGGCTGATTTGACCTCTAACCAGGATTTGAACTCATAACCCTATGATTATATATAAACAAATATACTAAAGTATGGCTGATTTTATTTATTTGTATGCTTTCATCGTGCGTTCAGGTCAAAATGTCATCATAGCCATGCGGTTGATGCCAACACATCCCACCATCGCTTCCTTCCTTCTGCCAGATCTTTGACTGTTGCACAGTTGACGTCCACCCTCCAAATGTTGCTCTAGCAGTATCCTACCATCTGGCTTGAGGTTTTCACTTCATCGCCTGCACTCCTAATTCCTGCACCACCTCCCATTGCAATGCATCACCCATAACACGTGAAAGTAAAAGCACTCACTGGCAAAAAATACACAACGCTTTGCCTAATAGATCACATTTAGAGTTTTGCACTAAAACATTTTAAACTACACAATATTCTGAAGACACCCATTCCAACTATGAAAAGCCATAAGCACACCTTATGATGTATTTTACCGTCATCAGCAGGGCACCACTGCTTTCCTTTATGAAACCCCTCGCACATAGCCTCATAAATGAATGTGCATAGACATTTGTGGTTGTGGAGAAGGGAGATGGTGGAGTACGAAAGGGATTTAGAACAGATGAGCTCTTGGCTGGAAATCACATGGGCACACTCGCTGTGGCTCCCAGCAATGTGCATGGAACTCGATACAGTGCCAGCCCCTCTTAGACACTGTTGCTGCCTCGGTGAATGATTAACCTTCCCATTTGTATCTACATATCGTGGAGTTCTAGAGCGACAATAGTCCCATCCGAGTATCTGGACGTTTCGTTCAGTGGGACCATCGCTGTGATATTTGATCACGATCAAGATGTCATCATGACCAAGTTAATGCCACCACACCAACACTTTCCACCTTTTGCCAGATCTCACAGCTGATGCACAGCAGACACGTGATTTCCTCCGTGATCTGCCCTAACTGCATACCACAACAATCTGGTATGAGGTCTTCCCGTTATTTCTGACTCTTTAGAGACTTAAATTTCGATTTAAAGTTTTCGTGACTGCAGGGATTCATATTCTTGGTTCTTTCGGTAAAGTCACGTAGAAGGGAAATAATCAAATAATAATAAAAATAATAAAATGAAATTCTCACGACGTTTCGGCCACAATGCAAGCAGCCGTCCTCAGGTGAAGAAACAGAACAGAGCTGTCGGAAAGACGCTGTCTTTCCTAGACGCTGTCTTTCCAACAGCTCTGTTTCTGAGGACGGCTGCTTGCGTTGTGGCCGAAACGTCGTGAGAATTTCATTTTATTATTTTTATTATTATTTTATTATTTCCCTTCTTTAGAAACTGTTTCACTGCCTGCCTCAGTGAACGGCCATCCTTCATTCTGCACGCTTCCTTCGCTGTGCAATATTTTTTGTCTCTTCATATCTGGGACGCCTACCTTCCATGGCCATTTCCAGACTTCGGCATTGCTGATCCCATGTTGGCACAAAACACGGATGTTAGGAATTGAGTTTCATATATTGCAGTTTGCCAAATTTGTTGCTGATTATTGTTTGCATCTATTAGGAGTACCGGGTGAAGATCCGCACATACAAGGATGTGACATAAACACCCATCCCGAGTGGTCAGCAACTGCACCTCCGATTTGCAGGGTTGGCTACGCACGAGGTGAAAAATAAGTTCAACATACATTCTTTTATAATGCCTCATACTGGGAGTGGCGTATCCGGGGTGGGGGGGGGGGGGTGCAGTGGCGAGATGTTAACTACATAACCTAGTGCACAGGAGGTCGTGGATTCAATCTCGAGCCTAACGCCTGCTGTATATTAGAGTTTGCATGTCTCACTTCCCGTGGTCATGTGGATTTTTCTCCGGGTCCTCCAGTTTTCCCCTCCTCATTTAGAAACATGCGTATAGCATATTTGGCTGATATAAATTTCCACGCGATAAGCCACTACATTGGGCTATCATTTGTGGCCTAATCAGGTAAATAAAAATGATTAATTGTTATTCATTTGTTTGAGGGGCCCGCCATCACCCCTGTCCCCTGGATACTCCTAAAATTATATTAATTTCGGTTCTTTGAATGGCCACACCTTGGGATTTTAGTCGATCAGCTTCTATATATTGGACACCTCAAAGCCAGAGATTCTCTCCCTCACGGCGGCTGTGGGCCACGCAGAACTGCTCTCAAACGCAGCATGGGAGATGTGCGTCGTACACGTGTCATGGATGGAAAATTAAAGACTCGCCAAACTCAAACTGTGGTAAAGCCCAAACCATCAAACGCATCATCGACGAGTGCGCCATCCACGCACACCCTGGCGGTGTTGCTGAAATGGCATCTATACAAACTGTTGCTTCCCCCCCACCCTGCCCCTATGCCATATGAAATAGGAAGAGCCTCAAAGCCAGACGTGTGGATGTTTTGGGCACGTGATGATGCTCGCACAATCTCCCAACTCTTCCTCTAGATTGATGGATTACATTGTAGGCGTGCCGCCACATTTGTGCAGCAATCCAGTTCCTGTTGAATCTATTTTCATTATAAATGAACACCACAGCTTCACAGGTTACCACTTTGCTGGACATTGGCACTGTAATCAACATTCGTAAAACTTTAATCCAGCAATACAATTAAAATGAATACTGATGGTTGGTCATGATGGTGATAAGAGGGTAAAACATTAGCACCGATTCTGCCCTATTTTTATGACAACACAGTTCACACTTTGTAAAATTTCACCAATCAGAATTTTAGGAATCAATGACCTCCTGGCAGACGTAAGGAAACATTTGGGTGCCAAATGTGTACATGTCATGCAATTGAGCCTGAAACTGCAACCAAACATGTGGCATCCTTTCCATTCTTTAAGCTGGAAACTGAATGGTAGCTGCCAGCATTTTATATCGCAAGAAAACCCTACGTACGTTTTGAGTGCGTATATTTTGTTCACACAACAAATAATGCAACTGGAAGATGGGGGATACATCTAATTTACAAATAAATGAATGAGAAGATAAACTAGGTTAATCTTGTGTTGCTTTAGTTCACCACTTTTGTCCACTATTTTTCACGTAGGGTCGACCTTCCTGGTCCCTTTTTTGTTCCGGGCCCTCTCCACATCCACTCAGCAGTTCATATTCTGGTTCATGTATGTATGTTGAACTTACTTCGCACAATACGTAGCCAACCGTACTAATCAGAGGTGCGGGGGAAAGACAACAAACTGAACACAAAAAGCAGTTCTAAAGAAATTACTTTTTATTCTAGATTGAAAAGTGCATAGCTCCCATCCCTATCTTTGTAGGCCGGCCTCTGGAACCTTCAACTGCCATGATGGTTCCAATTTCATCACATTTTTTTCTCATGTGTGTTTTGTCCTTTTCATTCCAATCGACGTTTACATGAACATTCTCAACAAGAAGATGGCATCTATTGTCAACCTTCCTGGAATTGGTCCTCACTGATTTGCACATCTGCTGTCAATCTTTTTTGAATCACTTTTCCCAAAGCATTAAGGTATGAATTGTCAGCTTGATACCACGATAGCGTGCACATTCTTGGATGTCTCTTTTCCCCTTAAATAGAGGTGTGCTCTATACAGACATCTGGCAATCCTTTATCTGTCATGGTATTGTTGATGAGCCTAATAAGTGTAAGTACACCTTGATGGAGTATTAGTAGCTACCGATAAAAGTATGTCAATGTCGTATTATATTCCTTGTTGATATAATTAAATACATATGAGTCAGTCAAAAATATAATGCGTACCATTCTACTGGCAATAAAACATTATATAACTGCACGAATACTTCAGCAATTTTGAAATTATTTCTAGTTTGTATCAGGCATTATATGTGTACATTTTTACAATCTCCTTACTATGGATGAAAGTGAATACTAAACTAGGCCTTTTAAATTACCGTAACAAATTGAGAAAATAAATAATATTTAAACTTTGGACCCTAGAACAATGACCTATCATTATAAAAGCAATGGCACAGGCCTGCGTCTCTGAGCAGGGCTGAACAAGATCTTCCCTAGCGCTAAAATTGACGCAAACTCTGTGGAAGACCCTG